CTATGTAACTTTGGTCTACCATGTGTTTGTTTCTATGGAGATGGGATTGCCCTGCCGATTGTAACACCAAAGAAGAGGTTAGTTTGTCCAGTCATTCATATTCTATACAAATTTTTGTTTGGTTTTGCTTTGCATTTGTTTTCCAATCTGGTTTTAAACTACAAATGATAAATAAGCTGAAATAAAATTGAAACATGGCAAAAAAAAAAATTATCAACACGAACTGAAGATTTTAGATTTGTCATCTTTGTCAATGCCAACTGCTTTTAAACATCTTTCAAATGAATCATTTTAGTGTGTAATTTCCCATCATGACTTTCCTGATTTTCTCTTTGTTTTGCAATCTGCCTGTGAGGCTGCTGGGACACTTTGTAATAACGTCCTTCCTGGGGCCAAACTGTGCCTCCCCTGCACACAGAGACAAAGTACCTCACTGTGCCTGACTTTTACAAGGCTGTTATTCTAATCTTTTATCTTTTCCAATTTTCAGAACGTACTGGACCACATGGGCAAATCTTAAAACAAAAGTAAACCTCTGATTTTGGGGAGTGATATAAATTGCTTGTCACTCTGTCCATCTGTCAGTTGCTTTGGATTACTTTGGATTTTGTGACTATTTGCTCAAAGACTTGCACACAGTTGCATATTAGTTTTTTCCTTCAGTTTACTCAACATTTTTTCTCACAACTAAAGTGCATATGGCAGGATAGATTATGAATTGCACTAAAACATAGTTAACATAATTTTACTACAAATCTTGCCTATTTGTTTTGTTTATCATTTTCATGTTTCACGAGTTCATGTTTTACAGTTTGTGGTTGAGGCATACTTCAGCCAAACATTGACACTCAAGTTCACATAAGTCATGACAATATTTTTTATATGCACTTTTTTTTATATAATTTTGCCTATAGTTTATTCAGTGAGTAACAGAGTTTTCACCCAACTATTTCTGTTTTTAGCCCAGGTCATCTCCATCACGATGCTGAAGTGGAGGGTGCTCCCAGTGGCAGAGGTGATGTGGTGTTGATGGGAGCAGAGGAGAGACTGAGAGGAGCCTGCCCCTCTGCTCTGACCTCCCACACAAACATGCCCCCAACAACATCCAGGACACATGAGGACACCAGCATCCATCACTACACTGTATAGACAGCAGCTTCAAAGGCACCACTGGCTCTCATTTATATCGATGTGCTGCACAAATGATCCTTTTTTCTTGTCCAGATGTTTAGCCTGATGTGAGCAATTTATCTTTTTTCAATGAGTTTTATCCTTAATGACTTCAATTAATGTGTTTATGGAAGCGAAGAAAGTGCACGTTCTGTCAATAGTAAGTTATTTCTGACTATTTACAAATTATACAGTTCTACATATTCATTTCTTTTTAAATATAGTTCAGTTTTTTGGTGTTGGAATCAGATAATTGGCCAGTGATCCCAGAATATACTTAAAACTCTTCACCCATCATGTACAGCTGTTAGTTGCTATGGAATTGTTGGTAGTTGGTTGAGGCCATTTGTTATCAACTACATCTCTGTCAATCTACTTAAGAGCATCTATGACCATAAAAACATAACACTATGAACTAATGCAAAGCAGTCAAGAAGCAAATTGGAACCTATCTTTAGTTAAATCTGCTGTAAAGCATCTCTTCTTTTATTAGATTACAGTGTTTGCACATGGTCCCTGTTAAAATAAACTAATAAATTAACTAAACTAAACTAAACTATATCCAATAAAATTGATACACATTTAAAGGTGCAATATGTAACTTTTCTGGTGGAGGATCTGCCATCTCCTCGTCTTTGTGGAGAAATTATTGCTTTAGCTGGAGTGTTTGACAGCATGGCATTAAATAAATATATTAATGTATTCAATCATGGGCATTTTTTATTTATTTTTTATTGTAACTTGACTTGGTCTAGTTGGTCTGCCTTGCTTCATTTACATAGTTAAGTTTGATGTCAAGCAATAAAGTCTCCATGAGGACCAGCAGGTGGCAGACCCTCCACCAGAAGACTTACAGTGCACCTTAAGTTGTATAGAGGAACACAGGTCTCATTGTTGTGAACTAGTGAACAAGTGTGAACTAATGGACAGGGTTTCAGACATCAGTGAAAAAACTGTGTCTAATTAAAATGCTAATCACAACAAATTAAGAGAATAGGAGGCAGATGATTTGTTGTGATGACCCCATGCAGAAAAGGCCAAAACAGAATAAGCTGTCCAAAATGATATGACTAAAAACAAGACAAGCCACACTGAACAAAAGTCATGAATGTGAAGCAGGGGGAGCAGCAAGAGCTATGCAAATGAAATGAAGCGATTGAGTCCAGCTGCTACAAGATGTACCAGTGCAGGCCAGTCCATGTCCACCGGCTAACTGTTTCAAACTCTGAGAATTTTTTTAGGGAGGAGAAATATTCTGAATATTTAGAGTTCTCGGCCGCTCCACTGTGGCCGGATGATGGTAACATGCATAGTTCCCAGTAAAATTCTGTAAAAATGTATAAGCAAGCCTTGGTTATAGTTTAAAGGCTCTGTACCCAATGTTTTCCCATGTATTTGAGCGGAATTTGTCTTGACCCAGAACAGATAAATAAGCTGCTGTTGAAGTCAAAATATGTCTGCTATACCTAAAAAAAAAACTTTTTATTGTCTGATAATCAGTAAGTGCGCATTAGCTTTACCAACATCGAGTTGTGAAAAGTGCTTAAAATGAACTAGGTCAGTTTTTCCTGTTTTAAGACATCAGCTGTATTGCTGCACTTTGTATAAGTAAAATGTACTGTCTTGGCTGTGCAGCTGTCACTCAAAAGCATTATCCTGGGAGCAGATTCTCATTATGCAAAATCAAACAAGACAATGAAATTGAGTTTGGTGTCCTGGTGTAATGTAAGCAAATATAGCCTGACAAATCATATCGCACAAGATTTAGAAGTTGGTCCATGCCTTGATTTTTAAACAGTACTCTGTGGGGAGTCTGTAAAAGTACTGAGGAGGCAAAATATTGCTATAGTACAAATTTATAAGCTAAAGACTGATTGCGTGGACAGTATATGCATATTGTGTTTTAATGTTGAAAGAAGATTTTTTATGTTTTTATTTTTTTAACAAATAATTGTGTTGTTTCTTAAGGTTACACTTAAATAATGCATCCAAGTTAAAGCTGGAACCTTTGCGTTTGAGGAGCAAATAGGTAATGCAACAGTGACACCTTGTGGACACTTTCTCTGCTGCAACTTCAACAATTAAAATGTCTTAATTTTTTTCAAATTTAGCGTTTATTTGACCATATATATATATATAAATAAATCAACGATGTCACTAGTGTGAAATATCTTGAAATATTATGATTATGCTATTTGAAGTAATGGTGCATATCAGCCTGTCCCTCCCTAATACAACCTGCACTACTTTACAAAGATTAATGACTCATGGACTTATAGTGACAGTGATGTCTTTATAATGGCACTAATGGATAAAATACATTTAATCCACAATGCTCCTATTTGCCTCATACTGATGAATTTAAATACACTTTAGCTCATTATAATTATTTATAATGAGCTAAAGATAAACTAAATGAAAAGGCATTGCAAAATCCCAAGAAAATGTATGTGGTTCCAATCAACACACATATTAATGAAGGAATTCATGTTGTAAAATACATCATTAGTTTTAGTGACACAAGGATTGTGTGTGGGTAGCAGCGGTAACTTGTCTAAACTAATTGCACTTGGGTTTGAAATTGTTGTGGTGAAGAAGGAGCTGAATCAAAAGGCAAATCTCTCAATTTACTCGTCAATCTATGTTCCTACCCACACTTATGGTCATGAGCTTTTGGGCAATGACCCAATGGACAAGATTGCGGATACAAGCAGTCGAAAGTTTCCTCTGCAGAGCTGGAGGAAGTGCCTGGGGTGAGGCAAGTTTGGGAACCCCTGCTTAGACTGCTCCCCTACAACCCGTCCCTGGATAATAGGACGAAAATCAATGGAATTTGAATTTTTTGCATCAGCTTCTAATGCAAAGTGATTTCTGAAATAGCTTTTGCCTTGTAGTTTCAATAATAATAATAATAATAATTATTATTATTATTATTATTATTATTATTATTATTATATAGTTGCTCAGGCAAGATCCTGGATGGATATATTTTTTATCATGAAAACGTTTTATTGGTAAATACTATTCTCTGACCTTTAACCCTGTTAGAGCTGCTCAGCATGTTCTTGCCTTGACTGACTCTGCAGTGTGGTGAAATGTGTTTCAGTATTTTATGATGGACATGTTCCATTCATTAAACCAATATTTTTATTCATTTACTGACATACTCTCAAAAATGTGACTAAAGACTGTGACCCAATAACCCCGACACTCATCATCTCAGAGGAATGGACTTTTTTGGCACTGGTTTTTCTATTTTGATCTACTCTGAACTGATCTGGCCTGATGTATAAATAGGTCTAGAAAATGTCATTTAAAAATAGACAGCATGAGAGATATAACAGGCCTAGTGGTCTGTCCAATCAGAGATTTACATCCATGAGGTTGATTACTGCTTGAATGTGTGTTTATATTAGTCTAATTTGTTTAAAAATATTAAATACATCTATTTCATTGTGAATATAAGTTACGATGTAAATGTCGAAGTTTAGAACTAATATGAGCTTGCTAAATATGCAAAGACCACCACTTTTTATGTCTGCACCGTAGACTGTATAAAGATAAACATATACTGTATGCCTTTAATCTCTAGTCTGCACTGTGGTGTTGCCACGCCCCCTGCTGGACATTTGAAAATCATCTTCTTACAAAAAAGATTTGCGTTAGAACGTAAAATCTCCACACGTCCTCGTAACCTGACACATATTGTGAGTACGAGAAAACAGAGTTTTAAAAGAAAGCGCCATGAAACAACGGCTCATCAACGTTTAGATTTACGCAGGTATAATTATGACGTCACAGACCAGGTGCGCGTTTTCAAAGTGAATGAATGAAGTGCAACGTGACTGACGTGAACGTGCCCTGGTCACGTTGTCCTTCAGTCTGAAGGACGTTTAGTGCTACTCTCCAACTGTTAAAATGAACTCATCTAAACCTTACATCGGCTGTAAAATAGCTTTGATTTCTAAGGCTCTGAACAGATATGTGGGCATATTGTACACCATTGACAAAGTAAACTCAACTGTGGTCCTGGCAAAAGGTAAGTAAGTAAAAAACAGTCTGTGAGGGCTGCATGGAGGGAGGGAGTATTCAGTAGCTAGGCTGAAATATGCTATTTCAAACATTTTGCTAAATCTATATCATTGTTACAGAGTATAAGCGCAAATTTTATTACCCTCTAATAGTCAAAACTGTTTGAAAACTGGTCAAGAAATGGACTATAATTACATGAAAAGTTATATATTTTACCACGTGAGGTGAACATAAAAAAAAATTGTCAGTCAGTTTCCTTATTTTTTGGTTGTTGTAGTGAAGTGTTATGGGACCGAAGGGCGACTGACTGACCAGCCCACACCACCCAGAGATGACATCTATGAGTACATCACATTTAGAGGAAGTGATATTAAAGACATCAACCTTTGTGAACTACCTCCATCCCAATACGGTCTGGCTCCAGATCCTGCTATTCTGCTGGTAGGTACACATGTAAGGTAAGATTGATCAATTTATGGACTTGTTTTACACCACTGACTTAATATTTTGGTATAGTCCTCAGGTGCTAGTTTGCCAGACCCACACTCTACATTACATCTTGGAGCAGTTCAAGTACCCATTTACCACCAAGTGTCTGCTCAGCCTGTTCACATTGGGGAGTATACTGCTGCTCTTGGCATTGGTAAGTAATGTTTACTTCTTCTTACAAATAATATATGATCTGATTAGTGCATGTCAGTATAGTTGGTTTATTCACTGGTATTTCAAAGTTGCTGGCAGAATATTTAGATTTTGAAAGATAGGAGTATGACTGAAAGTACTGGGGGGGAAAATGCCATACTTTTTCTCCAACATTTCAAAGTGTGTTTTAAAGAAAAGGGAAAGATGTATACAATGGTTTAACTTAATATATAAACTTCTAAATGAGGGAAACTAATGCACCATTTTTTAACCTTTGTCATTTTAAATGTATTGTTTAAATACATATAGCCATGAAGCGACCAATGGTGGAAAAGGCAGTACAAACCATTGGCACTGAGAGAAACAGACGAATTTTACATCTATCCAATGATGACTGGGAGCAGAATGGGCCCCCAACCCAAGCATCAGTCCAAGAGCCACTGCAAAGGCAACCAGCCAGACCTCCCCCCAGACAACAGGATAGAGAGCCTCCTCGCCATAGACCACCTCCCATAAGTAAGAATGGAAATCCAGTGTTTTCTAAAGCCCACTCTAAATATCTGTCCCAATGAGATTGTAATTTCTTATTTGCAGTGAGAGGAGGCCCACGTTTCCCACCAGCTCAACAGAACCATGGATACTGGCAAAACATGGAAAACATACCGCCAAGGAGGAGACAAGGTAATGCCATCTACAGACAACTTAAAGGTGCACAATGTAAATTTTCTACTCTGGGATCCACCTCCTGCTTGTCTACTTGAAGATATTTGCATGGAATGTTCCACAGTATAGCATTAAAGTCATCTGTCTTAAATATATTCAGTAGCAGGTGTTTCAATAGGGGAAAAACTGTATGAACATTCATACTGCGAGCAGGCTTGTCTCTCCTTAGACCTGACCTGTAACTTGGCTTGCTGGCGTTATCTGTTTTATGCCATAGAGTGGAACATTCCATGCAAAGAAATAACCTCTCTACAGAGAAAAGCAAATGGTGTACCCACCATCAAAAAAGTTGCATAGTGGGGTTGGGGATGTAACTGTTGCAGTGAAATTGCAAAATCAAGACTCAGAATAATATATCAGATGTCAAGCTCTTATGCCAGATAGTATTTTGTTGCAGCATCACACCAAAAGATCAGAAGGAGCTACATAGACCATGATCCACATTTTAAAATGTGTTATTGAAACTTATTGAAATAATTTAATAATTTTGACAAATCTCAAATGTATTTAATATGTTGGTAAATACTGTCATATTGATCTGTGATTTTCACATGTTTACATTGGTTGTGTCCTTATTTAAAACAAAGGTTCCTGGAGAGGCAGGAATCGTCCCTCCGATGGGCCATTGAGGTTTGATACCGACTTTGATTTTGACTATTCAAATGCACAGTTTATAAAGGACTACAATATTCAAGGTACAGTCAATGTGAAAGTTGGTATTTACCTACTGGATTGTTTACATTTGCATATAATATTAACCCTATCTACCAGAACCACGCAATGCTACAATGGAGAATGAGGCAAATGACTCTCCCTTTGACGATGATCCTTTTGGGCAAAAATGTGTTTATAATAAAGCTAAATGTTTTTATGATAACATTCCTAGTCCCTCTGAGCAGAAATTAAGGTGAGCTATCATTCATTATCTTCTTGAGTTTGATTATATACTTTCTGCTTTAGCTATTTTCGTGTCTCCAGATTGTCATGGGCAGAGGAACGCCAGCGCAATATGGAAACCTTTGGTGCTTCAGGATGGCCTTTGAGGAGCCCGGGCTTCAGAGGGGGCTACACCCGGGGAAGAGGGCAGAGATCTGGACAGAGAGTCTTTGCATTCTAACCTGGGAGGGAGATCAATGCCATCTTCAATATGCTCTTAAAAACAGAAAATCTATGCAGTGTTTATGAACTTGACGGGTCTGTGTTTAAATTGTAATAAAACTATTTTGAATAAATGTTTTACAAGGTTTTTAATCCATGTTATTCAAAAATGCATTTAATCTTTATATTAATAATAAAGCCCTTTTTTATTTTTTTTTATTTTGCATCATCTAATTTTGGAAAATGCAGGTGTTTCTGTAACCGCTAAAATAAATGCAAAGAATAAATTACATAAGTGTATGTCTAAGGGGAAAAAACTTTCTATTAATCACAATACTCTACATAAAAAGGCGTTTATTTCAGTGTTGAATAGACTCTAAAGACTCCAGTCTGCACACACAGCGCGAGACTCAGCATCCGGACTGTACCAATGCAAAGGGAAAAGGTTTCCACCCGTGTGCTGAAAGATTTGGAGGGGGGGAAAAGCACCTGCCTTAATGCATTAAAATACACTTAACTTTTTGAAAGTAGGTTGCGTCGTGTAATAAAATACAGGTAGATTTCTTTTTTGCTTCTATACGACGTTGACCGTTCAACGTTACACCCCCTTCGTGCGATCGCCAAATGGACAAACAGTGCAACCACGGAGGACTGCGCTCAAGATAATAAATATTAGAATAAAATAACAGACTTTATTTTCCATATGACAAAATGTCGGTGGCGTTTTCATCTGCACGTCCTAGGACCAAAGGGGAGGTGACACCGCAGACTATTCAAAAGGTAATCTTTAGGCTGTATACTCGGTAGACACGATGCGCCGTCTTGGATGAAAGGCACGCTTGTCTGCACTGGGAGTGTGCGCTGCAAGTGCAATCAAAACGCGTATAGGCTACATTAAATTCAATTGACAATGATAAACTTAATGTGCAAAACTTGTGAAAAAACCATTGTGAAGCCACTTAGTGCACAAACAATCTCCTTTATTTTCCTCTGGTAAACCACCACGCACCAACCAATAACAAGTTGTATATTGGCGCAATTACGCACGTAGGCTATGACACGACATAATCACTATAAGACATGTGAAGAACACAACGCACTTTGTACAGTCAAAGTGTAACCGAGGGTCCAGCCCAGATATGTTGGCCAGTGCTGATGCTTTATCCTCGAGTGAACCGTGTACGTTTGTTTTGGTGCGCACCTGTCCTCAAACAGAACCCTGCACAATCCTGGACTGTATAAGCCAATCAACTGAATAAAACTATCTCATATAACCACCAGGCAGAACATTAACATGGCATAATAACACTTGTGCCCTATGCCTCATTGTTGTCTTTTCTTAGATGCTAGATGAAAACCATCACCTCATACAGTGTATAATGGACTACCAAAGCAAGGGCAAAACAGCTGAATGCACACAGTAAGTGTCCCATTCCTCTTCAGCGTTGACTTTGAGCTAATTAGACATCATGTACAGTCTAACTTTTTGGCATATTTTACAGATATCAGCAAATCCTGCACAGAAACCTTGTCTACTTGGCCACAATAGCAGATTCAAATCAGAACATGCAGTCACTTTTACCCGCTGTGAGCGCAGCTTGAGTTTAATTATGTTATTAAGTATACTGCTATCCTCCTAATGACTATTGGCTGAAACAATAATTGGTTTCATTTGCTGTAGCCTCCCACTCACAACATGGGAATGAGCCAGGGCAGTGGACACACTTCAGGTAATGACAACATGACATCAGGACTGACCCCCACATCAATGATGCAGAGTAATGGTAAGTGTGATGTTTGTGATATGATTTTTGTTCATTGTCTTTGCTGCATGTGTGCCTGCTTTACCCTATGCGTGTGCTGGAGATCAGGGTATGTTTGTGAACCCCAGAGGCAGAAGTATGTGGAGTTGCCAAAAATAAAATAAATCTAAGAATTTTAAGAATTTCTTCAGATGACTCTACTCACCCCTGCCAAGTGCATCCTAATTTTTCTCCTGGCTGAACTAAAAGTTTGCACTGAAGATGAACTGAATGTGGTTTCTTGTTGACCTTTGACCTTTGGGACATCTATCCATCAGGCCACAACCAAACCCCCATGCAGCAGCAACAGTCTGGTCAGGTGCCCCCTACTGCTCACAGCACATACGTCCACGGTGGGCACCCTTCCCAAAGCAGCATGGTGCAGGGCCCTGGTCCTGCCTATGCCTCCTCCTCTTCATCTGCATCATTCTCCTCCCGCAGCAACCTCAACATTCAGTCAAACCAAGGTGAGCCACTGTGACAGGTTATGGTGTCCAATTTGGTCACATTCTAAAGAAACCAGGGAGAAAGTATATTTTGATAAATGACATTTGCTTAAAATGTCTGAGATATCTTGAATCCCAAAGCCATGTTTGCCATGTTTTAAGACAATTTCAATAACGTTTTCAATGGCCAAGAGGAGGCAGCATTAAGTACAGAACATTGTTATGACCATGGTTATGACATACACAAACAACAAAAACATCAGGAAGAATCGTAGAAGATGAAAAACACACTTAAGTTAAAGAGGTATAGTGGTAAGTAGTTTGTTGGTGAATGCATTGATGCTTGAACACCTCTGGAGCTTGAAGCACATTCAGTTCATCAGCTCCCTTTGTATGAATTTTATGTTTTAACCCAGACATAGAAATATACATTCCGAAATACTTCTTGCATTGGCTGCGTATGCAATAATGTCAGTGATTTTGTTTGCACTGTATCTCTTAAGAAATCTTTAAGAGATTTGAGGCTGCTTTTGACCCCTTTTGACTTTACTCTGTGGCTTGTTGCAGTGTGACCTTTCCTTGATTACAACGTTTAATTAGTGCACCCTCTGTAGTCTAACACGGTGGCTTTGCATGTTAATTTTGATAAGACATCTTTATCACTAACCTGCTTTCCAGTTTCCATGATGCACCAGTCGGGCACTCCTCACTATTCCTCAGCCCAACTGGGGGGGCAGCACTATCAGGGACAGCAGGCCGTGGGTTTAATGGGGCAGGGAAGTCAAGGCAACAATATGATGTCCCAGAGGCCTATGGGAACCTATCGCACATCACAACCAGGTAAGAGCTTCACCTGGCACCTGGACTATACAGTTATACAGTTAGAGCATGCACATTTAAGATGCTGGTAATTTGTGGAGCTACAGCACTGTGTCAGCATGTGCCTAAGAATAGCTCCACCCTATCAAGATGTCTTTGAAGGATATAGTCGAGACAGAAGTATTGTAAAAAAGAAAGGCTGTTTCTAGGGCAACACAAAGTGTCCTCATTCACCTCAGGTTTTCTGCATGACTGTTCAATCATATATTATGTTAAAGGATTTTCTATCTTCATCATCACTTTTGTAAATACATTGCCAGTTTCACATATGTTTCAAGGCTGCTCAATAATTGCATGGTATGCTGTCACATTTGAATTGTGCATGCCATTTATAGATGAAAAACTATTAGGTTTGCTTTCCCATGTAAATGTATGTGAGACTTTGTAAAAGGCTTTGGATTGTATTATAATAAAAGCATGTAATCTGGAGTTTCAGCACACCAACATAAAGCTCATATTAAATCCCAAAAACTAAGTTTTTTGACAACCTAAAACAGGCACAGTCATTTTCCGAAGAACATGTTAGAGAGGCCAAAATGAGAGTGTTCTTCAGCAGTTGGGTTCAAACAGCTGGTTAACCAGCCTCGGTGTCACCTGTGTTGCAGGGTCTGCACAGCAGTACATGGGAGAAGACAAGGTCTACGGAGAGCAGTATAGACACACTCAGAGCTCCAGTGAGCCCATAAACCCACAGTATTACCCAGATGGTAATGGTGCACAGCCATAAGTGTCTTAAAGCTCTCAGCCCATTTGAGACAATGCTGTTTTACTCTTCTGCAAGAGGAAATGTAATATGGCCCCATTTAACAAATAAAATCCAGTGGACTTAAATCCAAATGATGATTTCTCCCAGTGTGTCTGTGTCCATACTGTCCCCTTTGGTGTGCTGAAATTTTGTAATGCACAATGTCAGTGTATCAGTACAAATGTCGCAATTGGATATTGTATCTTAATGTTTGTATATATGCACCCTAACGTCTGGATTGACTACAGGTCATGGGGATTACTCCTATCAACAGTCCTCCTACGGAGAACAATACGAGAGGTCTTTTGATGAATCCTCACAGCATTATTACGAAGGTATGCCTTGGTTGATTATGTTTGTATGTACCTTATATTTACCTTTTCTCATGAACATTGTCAGGTAACTCTCAGTACAGTCAGCAGCAGGGCCAGTATCAGCAGGGCTCTAGTCAGCAGTCTTTTGGTCAGCAGCAGTACTCCTCACAACCAAGCTATGGCGGACCTCCTCAAGGATACGGTTAGACACTCTGTAAGCTGTATTGTGCATAACAGCAGAACAAGAATCACTCAGTCACCTTTTGGATTGCAGGACCAGGCCAAGGCAGTTCTTCTCAGTATTCTCAGTATCAACAGGGTCAGGGCCAGCAGTACGGCTCCTACCGCTCATCCCAGGGGGGAGGACAGGCCCAAAGACCGTACTCCTATGAACAGGTACAGATTTGAACATAAAGAGGATGCATTCAACAAAAGATCAATGGGTTTCCTCTTACAAATGAAATTATGAGTTACAACATCTTTTATGCTATGACTCCATAATTTATATCTTATTATATTTGCAGCTAATTTGCATTTTCAAATTAATGTCTCAACTCTAGATTATTATTTCAATACAAAGTAGTAGTAGTACTAAGGTTGTAATTCTTCCTTTTGTATTCCAGGGTCAATACGGGAACTATCAGCAATAAGATATGCTGGTAAAAAGCAAGACTGTGGCGAAATGGGCATAACTGTGGAATTGTCAATTGATGTACAGTACATTAGTAGTTTTAAACATTTTTTACATTTAAACTTCAGATGCTGTTTCTGTTTGGAAAAGCACTGTTTAAAAAGAGAACATAAATACACTAAAATAATGATCGGTTAGACTGTGAGATCTCTAATAGGCCTACATGTCTTATATTTACAAAATAGTTACTCACTTATGTAACCATTCATCATAGTAGTATATGTTATGTCCTTTTATTGCTGGAGTTAGAAGCCACACTACTTTGGATTACATTCAAGTAACTTTGTTAGCACTTTATTTTCCAATGACGGTGTTTGTTTGTATCTAGTCACTGTGTATTTTTTATTTTGTCATGAGAAAGCCAAAGTAGTAACACAGGAAGAAGCACTTAACACCTCAATATATCAAAGAGTGCAATACAGCTTAAAGGTAGTCTTGTAATTGTTTCAACATTTCTCTACCTGTCTTACAATTTCTTACAATTATTTGCATGATTCTGAAGTATCTTACCGAGGGTGCAGCAGGGTATCCTGCCAGTAGGCCTACATCATGTTACCTCAAAGGGGCAAAATCACCGTTGCAGACAAAATCCAGCCTCATCAGGAAAAGACACCAAACAGTGACAATCACAGACTGCATCAGATATGACAAACTGAACATTTTACTGTGTATCCAAGTGTTTTGTTGTCTAGTCTCCATACAACAGATGTAAGTGGTGTGTGTCTGGGGTGTGAGTGTGTGAGCAAAGAGTCAAATCATAATGGGATTAAACAAATTAGAGTGTTTCATGTATAGCCTGTGGTTATGTAAGTGTTGGTTGCCTGATCTTCTTTTAAGTCCTTTGTTATGTGTTTTATTTTCTAAAAAAATAAATAAAATATACACAAGGAAACATATGTACTCCTTTTAAGTTGCATTACAGAATGCTATTTATTTATTTATTTATTGAGAAATTTAAACATTGATTGTGGGTCACAATAGGCGTACACAAAAGCGTGCATAAGACGTGAGCGCATACTGCGGGGCCGTTGCTGCGTGTACGCACTGACGTGAGAACACACAAATCTGTGCAGTGTGCGCTTCATCTTCTACACGAAAATTGTGTTAACACTACAACGTGGTCTCAAAGAAAAATAATTTAAAAAATACATAAAATAAAAAAATACATAAACTTTTCACTTAGTTCAAAAATGGAGTAGAAAGCGCAAATACATGTTTTCAAATGTAGTGAAGTAAAAGTAAAAAGTATCCCCTTTAAAATGTACTTAGGTATCTGTACCTTACCTAAATAGCAGTGCTTTATATGGAGTAAAAAAGTTTTCAGAAATACTTATGTGCATAGGACGAAATTTGTGCATATTTGTCTGTAGTTGAGCATAAAATAAATATTCATAAACTGTCAAATTAGTCCAGTCATACATAAAATGTATTGTGTGTATTTTATCCATCCAGTTACGACATCAAGAATTACAGTCACAAAATGAAAATGTACGATTATGCTTTCTTCAGTATGAATACAAATTCAAAGAGTAAAATACATCATCACTTCACAGGCATTACTTACCTAGCAAAAGAAACATTGATCGAGATGTTGGACTTTTGCACCACATACAGACTGGAATTTATTTGAATAAACTCATTGTAATAGTTTTCTGTGTATTCTTAAAAGGGTAGTTTGCTCAAATATTGGTTTTTTGTTTTGTTTTTTTTGTGTGTGTGTAACATAAAATCTTAAATGGATTAACATGAACATGTAAAGTCACAAACCTCTTGCTTTTTTCTCTCAAGAGTCTTGTAGTCCGAATAAGGGGCGGTCAGTAGCAGTCTGTGTGAAAATGTGTCAAAGTTCATCAGATGAAGTTCAGGAGAGCAGGTTCTGGTCTCATTCGAAGTCTGTAAAGGTTGCATTGATGCAACGCACGTGGCAACAAAAACAACAACATGCACATGTGCACTGACCTAAGCATGCGCAAGCTTCGTTTGTTCTATACAGTCCATAATCATACAAGCATACAGTGTATGGATCTAACATACACAGGCTTTAAATATGATCTAGAGCTCCTCTTACCAATGCAGGGCAGAACAGTGTCCTGTCAAGTTACCTGAGCTATGACCCCAAGTTCTGTTCCAGTTTAAATGCCGTCCATTTAAGCGCCTGGGGCAGAAGTGGAGTAACAAGTAACATTTTAAAAGTGTATTGTTTTACTGTATGTACAGATGTGGATAAAATTGTTGGTACAATGAAAGAAAAATCTAAAATAATTACTGAAATAACTTGAAACTGATTAAAGCAATAATAAATAAAAATTTACTCCAAAAAGCTTTGTGGCTTGTCAATATGCATTGTGGCAAATTCCAGTCTCACTTTTTTATGATTTGCTCTCAACAGGGGTATCCTTCCATGAAGTCCACTTTGGCATAAACAGTGATGGATGGTGTGATCTGACACTGATGTACCTTGCCCTTCAAGTTCACATTTAATTCCTTTGGAGGTTGTTTTGAGCTCTTTGGTTGCTATTCATATGATCCATCTCTTCAATTTGTCATCAATTTTCCTCTTGCAGCCACATCCAGGGAAGTTGGCTACAGTCCTGTGGATCTTAAACTTCTGAAGAACACGTGTAACTGTAATCACAGGAACATCAAGCTGCTTGGAGAAGGTCGTATGGCCTTTATCTTTAACCTGCTTGTCTATCATTTTCCTTCTAGTCTCCTAACATAGTTCTCTTCTTCACTTTCTCTGGTCCATGTTCAGTGTTGTATCCATCATGTCTTCAGACAGCACAATGACAACATGTCAGGCAGACTGACTGAGGACAAGTTTGAAGACACCTGTGATGCAGATTAGAGGACACACCTAAATTTAACATGTCCCTGTTGTTCAGTTACTTACAATCTTTTCTAGGAGTACCATCATTTTTGTCCAGGCTAATTTCATTAGTTTGTTTGTTGTTGTTTTTTTTTTTATCGTTCTATTTAACATTAATTTAAAAGCCGTGTCTGATTTTCATTGGTTATTTTTCAGTATTTTTTAAATTATTATTATTGCTTTTCTCAGTTTCAAGTTATTTTCAGTGACCATTGTTGATTTTTCTTTCATTATCAGAGGGGTACCAGCAGTTTTATCCACAACTGTATGTTAAGCAACAACATGTGCATGTTAGACTTGAGGCAGAATACCTACGTTACATGATTGAATAGTTTGAATGTCCTCCTGGTTCAGTCCTGGTTTAGTCCTGGTTTAGTCCTCCTGGTTCAGTCCTGGTGTAGTCCTGGTTTAGTCCTGGTTTAATCCTCGTTCAGTCCTGGTTTAGTTCGTATGTGGTGCAAAAGTCCAGTATCTCGATTGATGTTTCTTCTGCTCAGTAAATAATGCCTGTGATGTGATGAAGTATTTTTGAGTTGTGCTTGTGAATTTGTATTCGTACTGAAGAAAATGTAGTCATACATTTTCATTTTGATTGTAATTCTTGATGTGGTAACTTTTCAATTTATATTCTGATGGATAAAATACACAGAATACATTTTATGTATGACTGGACTCATTCGAGCGTTTACGAATATTTATTTTATGCTAAATTACAGCCAAAAATGCATGGATTTCTATCCTATGCACACGAACATTTCTGAAAGTTTTCTTACTCCATAGTTTTACTTCTTTAACTTTGTTACATTAAAACCACTGCTCTGTACTTGCTTCAGCATGCCTGAGACACCCAGCACTCAAGAGAACAGCTTTATTATGGCTGGCGGAGGAGGAAATCAGTATCCTGATTCAATTCAATGCAAAAACAACTAGGCTGTGCATATAAACATATTTATTATCTTCAACTAGAATTAAAATGAAATATCAGCAGCAACAACAACAACAACAACAATAATAATAATAATAATGATAATAATAATAATAATAATAATAACACAAGTGGAATAATTGAAGTCAAGTTAAATAATGTTCTTAACAGCTTGTTGAGGTCAGGTTTAGGTTGTGGGGGTTGACCCATGTCTTAATATCAGACAGAAACTCTTCAGCCACACAGGAGCATTTCACTAGCAAGGTCCACACCACAACAATGGAATATGATAAAGATATGTATTGACTATGGCTAGATGTGATGGCTGGGAGGAGATTCTGGATGGGAGCTCTGTCTCAGGTGGTCAGCCGAGCCTATACAGGACCCCCTCTCCTCCTTTGTAGACGATGAGGTCTTCAGGCTGAAGGATGAACAAGAAACATGTGGTGGGAGGGAGAGGGTTGAGAGAGCGGAGACGATGGAGTTGGTATTGTTGGGATAGGCCTGTATAAATAGGGCATATGGGTAAGGTTGAGCTGAGCTGTGGTCGCTGGAGAGGAGCAGGGGGAGGTTGAGGCATGGTTCTGCTCCTGAAGACAACAGAAAAGAAGACAGTTAAAGCAAAACATTTTGTTGTCCACCATGAATGCGCTTAAAAATGAGTTGTGTGTAGGCAGTGATGTGATTGGCCAAGGACAAAAATGCAGGAAAATATATAGACCCATAGTCTGGCACGACAGCAACAGTGCAGCCATTACACACAATGATCTTATTTTGACACTTTTAATAAAGTGACACTTTTAATAAAGTGTCAAAAATGCAAACATTTAGTGGCAACTCAGAAATTTCATCATTGCAAAACAATTAATATGAGGGGAAAAAACTCAAATACATGCCAAACAATAGGTGCTGACATTTAATCCTCACGCTCTCCTCGGGGTCACATTGACCCGAAGAAAAATATTTTTCCTTCCCGCTCTCTTGGGGCGGGTCAATCAGACCCACAAATTTATTTTCAAATAAATTCTCGCCAGGTGAGAAAATACATTTTTGGGTCTGACTGACCCGCCCCAATAGAGCGGGAAGGGAAAAAAATGTCTTCGGGTCAATGTGATCCCGAGGAGAGCGTGAGGGTTTAAGGAAAAAAAAATCAAACAACCAAAGAACAGTGTGCAAAGAACATAGCAAGAGAAACAAAATTGTCTGAGCCGGTTTAAGACATAATAAAGAAAATTATAATTCAATTCTGAAAATCCTTACAGTTTTTAATCACTATACACAAACTGCAGTACACATGGACTTGGTTTTCCACCAGTATACTGACAGTGTTATTATGCAGCATGTATGGTAATGTGCTATATAACCTTGAACTATTATTATTATAGTCATCATAGACGTTGCTGTTGTTATTGTGTAGTTATTATGTACAGTATTATGTTTTTATGGTGCCTACACAACATTCTGTAATAAGCAATATAACAAGAGCGGGAGTTTGGCTGTTCGTGGATATCCTCACAGGTGTGGTTTGGCTAATCATCTCTACCAACTCACCAACTTAACTACTGAAACAACCTGCAACCACCACAACTGAACTTATTATGATTGTGTGCACTTAATATTCTGCGATACCAGCTCTTCTACAAACACTCCGACCACTGTCAAGCAAAGCGCACCAGATTATAAGGCGCTGTATCATCGAGTCTATTTTCATACTTAAGGCGCACCGCATTATAAGGCGCATTACGCAGAAGTGCGCGTCCCAAAAGAAACAGCGATCGAAATGCCGGACTTTTGCGCCGCATACGGACTGAACCAGGTCTAAACCAGGAATGAACCAGGACTAAACCAAGACTAAACCAGGACTGAACTAAAACTATGCAACCGCCTCTCGTGTCATTACAGCGCGCAGAGCTTTACGCACATAAGGGACACACGCATGTTTGGGTCCCTGTGTAAGCCATGTTCTCCATGACCAGGTAAAATTTCAATCCTTTAGCCCTTATCCATAAAAATATCCAAATTCCTAACTCATTACTGATACTTCCAGTGCCGCTGTCTGACTGCGAGCCCGCCAAAGCTTCACTCTCGCAACACGCTGAGCTTCACAGCGCATTCTCCTTTTTGGCGACAGGTAGTAATGAATGCCTACTGCTCCTGTCCATTCATAAAAATGTCCAAATTGTCACACAGATTAGTTTTTCGTTGTTTTATTGCTTGGCCGTATCTTTGCGCTTTGAGCCAAGTGCGCGTAGCCGCGTGTCTCCTGACCAGTCCTCCTGTCAAACTGCACTCAGATCTTTTACTGAGACCCTCAAAGAGCACTGAGAAGCACAGTGAAAATGTACAACAGTTTGCTGCAGCAACTTGAATTTCCCTCAGATCAATAAAGTCTCTCTCTCTCTATCTCTTTCTCTCTCTCTTTCTCTTTTCTCTCTCTCTCTAGTCATGACTGATAAGCTTTGTATTTTAATACAAATTCTGCCTTGAGCTGAGCTTTTAGACAAATTGTATTTGAGATATGTCAAAGTGCAGTGTTCCTTGTACTGCAGGTCCTTGAGACATTACCTGCTTCTGACTATGCCCCAAGCCCTAACCTCACCCCTCTTGTCCCACAGGTGGAAGTGGAGCCTGCGCCAATGTTCCCTCGACCTACGCCGGACTGGGTGGTACAGATGGAGGCTGACTTGCAAGAGGAGGAGCTGAGCTGGAAGAACTGGGAAAGGTATAGCACAGAGGCCAATTCCATCTGGAAACCCAAGTACTCCTTTTGTTAACAACCAATTCTTTCTGTCTCTTTGTTTCTTTGAAGGAACAGGAGTGGAGCTGGGAGACCACATTCCAGTAGTTTGACATATCCCTTGTATAGTAGCATGTAAATAGTGTTGTAACCTAAAAAAAAAAAAAAAAAAAAAAAAAGTTAGATAAATTTAGTATGACGTTATTATGTAAATAATGTGTAATTGTGTGTTAGAGTGAAACAAGAACAAAACAAACTCAAAAAAGCCAAAAGTATACCAAAAAACTTTAAACTAAAAATACCCCCAAAACCTGGACTAACCCAGAATTGAACCAGGACTAAATCTGGATTAAACCAGGACTAACCCAGGACTTAACCAGGACTAAACCCAGATTAAACCGTGACTAAACCAGGACTAAACTTGGACTAACGTCGGATTAAACCAGGACTAAACACACGTATGACTAAGACCGACCCATGAGTTGGGTTGCACCACTGACCCATAGGTTCAAAGCTCTGTTTCTTGTAAACGCATGAAAGATGAAATAAAAGAATAGCCCATAAGGTCTACACCAAAATACCTTATAGTCAAGGACAACATGCAAAATGTTTAGCTGGTGTGTTAGTGTGTGTGGGGTAGGGGTATCCAAAAAATAAATGTTTAGTTTGGTGTTATTATTATTGTGTTGTGCATAGTTTGTGTGAGTGTGTAACAAAAACACAAAAGGAAACATTAGATAAGTTTAGTCTGGTGTTGTTGTTGTTGTTATTATTGTGTGTAAGTTTGTAGAAAAAACAAACAAAAATACAATAAAAAGTTAGATAAGGTATGATATTATGTTGTTATTGTTACATTGTAAAGATAGAGGCCCATAGCTAGCATTACATATAAAAAGTTTGATCAAACTGCTAACCTCTGTGAAAAACCCTAGCTGCATTTTACAGGATGTGTCTACTGAGGTGAGACTGTCAAACCAACAGAGGCCCTTTCCACCAACCTGAAAGAAATGTTCCCTAATGTCTCCCATATCTCCGAGCAACAGTCACCAGTGAAAATTTAAAAAAAGGCGGTTATTAGCAGCATTCAGTGTCAGTGTTTGACTAAGCTGTATCATTGATTTGTAGATGGTTTTATCACACATTAATAAACCTCATTTTTGATTTCACGACAACAGCAGTTTGTCCTTAGTAAAAGCTATGTCCAAGTTTGCACACATACCATAGATACCGTATAGTGCTCTAAGATATTTTCATTCAAACTACCTGATCAATCCTAGTATCTTCTCAAGCCCTTAAGCCCATTATATGTCTACAAACCAGAGCAGGTATTGGTCCAAGAGAATAGAGACAAATTCATGACCTTTGATGCCACAGAGGTCACAGTTAGGTGCAGAATGAACTTTAGATGTGGGAGGAGCTGAAGCACATCTTTACGCCCAGATATTTACAAAACAGAGATAGGTAAGTGGAATAGCACACTAGTCTCACAGCAAGAAGGACCTGAAGCCTTTAGACCAACCCCATGACAGCATGGTGGTTTGAAGAAGAATGCACAGAACTAAAACAAAACAATACATGATGGTACAGGCGGGAGCTGTCTCAGGCTGATCTAGAAATCAAGAGTGCAATGTATCAGTTTGGCTTCTGCAGGTTTCCAGTCAGATTATCTCAATTAATTAAAGACATTTAAACATCTGCAAAGTGAATCTTAAATTGTTCATTTTACTGTTACATTCTTTACACAATATACAGGCTACAAAAAAAAACAAAAAAAAAAAAAAAAAAAAAACATTTGATACCGTGAATTAAACCAATGCATCATTTAATCTAATCAATACTGAAAGTCTTTTGTGTTTTAATTATGACTTGGTTTGTTGAGATGGAACCTGTGGTAAATATTTAACATAGCCTAGGTTTACATCAGTTCAGTGGCAGTTTGTGGGAATAGAACAGTACAGTAAAGTACAAACATACAAGATCAAAGATGAGGGTCCCTGGCTCATCTATGTGTGTTTAGCCCAAAGCATCACATCGTTCTGTATAAATCTACACAAATCAAAGAATGCTAAATCTCACCCGATTTACACATACGAAAATTCCCATTGACAGAGCTAAACCATTAGCCTGACTGATCTGAACACAAGGTGGCAGTATAACGCAAAACAAATGCCAAATGTCCCTCTTAGTATCCGTAGGCGCAAGCATGGTGGCGAACAGTAGGCAGTAGTTTGTTAACACCGTGAGGATAAAACCAAGACCGGTCTTATTGTACTTCTATGACAAAACACACTGTCTTTTGAGATTACTCTTATAAGATTTTTTAAATAATAATTTTCAAAGTTGAGAGCTGTACCTTCAAAATACATATTGTAAAGACGTTTGACTTTAAGCAAGCTAACTGCTAACTACTGAACCACTAAGTTAGCTAATGACAAATCCGCTCCGATGTTTGGAAAGGTGAGATGTCGTTGGTGGTTGTCGATTTTTGACAACCTAAATCCTAACCTTTTATCTGTGAGAGGAAAACATCTAACGTGTTTTACGGACGGTAGAAGTAGATTTTTAGCGGTATGCAGGCTCGGGTTGTCCAGAGCAGTCAGGGAATTCAGCACGAACCGCATCCTGTGTGCCAAACCTCGGAAAGACCCAAAAAAACAACAGCTGTCTGAGAAGAAACTGGTGAGTTTTCAGTCTTGTCCACGATTAACAGCCTAATTTGGCATAACATGAGTTAATGTTCACCAGCTTCCCAATGATTCCCAACCTGACTGAATGAAAGGCATTTTAATTGCAATAGTTTATCTAAAATGATTACTGCTGTATAATATCTTTATCAACCATAAAACAATAAGGTTATATTTTCCTTGACTGCAGTTTGTCATGTTGGAGAAGGATGATGGGGCCACCAAGTATCTATTGCAAGCATACATACAAAATTCTAGAAAGGTTGAATTTTATGTTTATAAATGCATTAGTATTACTATATTTACTTCATAGTTTAGTAATCCTCAATTTCGCAAATATATCTTTTACCTTCAAAATCATGAGAAATGTAGTTAAGCCCTGCCTATTTGTACTACTACTACTACTACTATTAATATTATTATGGGACACTTATTTCTCAAACCATATTGTAAAGTCTCATTAAGAGAATTGGTTGTTGCATTATCTTCATGTTCAAATCCATAATTAATATGAACTTCAACATTTTTACATAATATTTTTCACACTTTAATGTATTTCTTCATGTTCCCTCAGACTCGATACTTTGTGGACTATCGTAACGTGAGACTGGTTGCCGGTGCAGGTGGTAAAGGTGCATGTAGCTTCCACAGTGAACCGCGCAAGGAATGGGGTGGCCCTGATGGAGGAAACGGAGGAGATGGAGGCAGTATCATCATTAGAGGTAACAAAATGCCAACTTAGTATTATTATAATTTTATGCAAGGCCCTGAAATCCAATCATTTGGTATACCTCCAGCTGACCGAGTTGTCAAATCACTTGCTCAAGTTGATCCAGTTTACAAAGGACAGGATGGTCAGTCAGGATCCAGCAAGAATTGTTATGGGCGCAATGGCAGTCCAACCTATATTAAAGTAAGTACATGATAGAAGCTGTAAACTACTACTACAACTATTGTTTTGTGTTTGTTGAATTGTTGCTGCTCTTATAGGTACCTCTCGGCACCATAGTTAAAGAACATAGTAAAACAATAGTAGACCTCTCTGATCACGGCCAGGAGTATGTGGCTGTTTTTGGAGGGGCTGGGGGAAAGGGTAATCGATTTTTCCTGTCCAATGAGAACCGTGCTCCACTGACTGCCACTTCTGGAGAGACTGGTGAGGAGAGGGTCCTACAGCTGGAGTTACGCACCATGGCACATGCTGGATTGGTGAGTAAGATGGTAAAATTTACAATACATGCAATTTCACGTTTTCATGTGAAGCACATTGGGCTGCTTAAATCTTTTTAAAGTGCACATTTCACCTCTATCTATAACTTTGTTTGGTATCTTTGGTTAATACTGTGGTGGCAGTTTGTGGAAAAAAGTTGAGATACATACAGGAAGGAATAAATACAGGAAGTATTGCTGAATTTTGGGTTAGGGTTAGGGTTGAAAGAGAATACCACCACCAAGTTAACACTAAAAATTCCATCCTAAATGCAGGGATAATTAGTGCACAAGGAATGAAATTTTCTTTTAAACCTTTTTTTCAGCAAAGTAAAGCTGTTGTCATGTCGGATTGTCAGTCTTCGCCCTTGTTTGTTGGTTGTTGGGTAACAATTATGGAATTGTCTCTACATCTGTCATTTCTGCTCCCCCTCTTCAACCAGGAAATAAAATTATAAATAGGGCTGGGCAAAAATAAAAAAATTTAATCGCGATTAATCGCATGAGTTTGAGTGATTAATCACGATTAATCGCGATTAATCACATGTTATACGCAAAATCAATTAATGAATTAAAAAGTAGAGTATAGCGCTCTTTTATTGGAAATGTAAATGAAAGAGCCATACATTTGTTGTGCAAACAGCATTTCTTTCACAGGGGAACCCTCAGAGCCTTCAAGGTATTCAGGGAAGGCTCAAGAAAAAATATTGAATGGACGTTTGTACTACTAATATATTTATTTAATATTTTTTATGCTGTGACTAATGAACACTACACTAGTAATAATTTCTAGATCAGTGTTACAAACTTGGACTGATATTTCTTAGGAAACAAAGGGTTAATATAATGGAATGGAAATGGACCAATCACATTTTTTCTTCCAATGGTATCTGGGTAAATCAGTTACTCCAGCACTGAACTAAAGAAATAAGCTCAGCTCAGAGCGCACGGTTGGTCTGGCCAGAGCCGGTGCCCGCGGCTGAACCCGCAGCTGAGTCCGCGGCTCGCAGAGGCTCGGGCACGTTGCATCTCACGTGGTCAGAAAAAAGTGAAAAAAGTGTAAAGAAAAGACGTCAAACTTAAAGAAACGCTCGCGGTGGACTTTTTCAAAATAAACGCCGGTGAGAAACAGACGTTTACAAGAAAAATAAATAAATAAATAATAAAAACTGCGTTAACGGCGTTAAAATAATTGTAGGCGTTAATGACTTAATTAGTTAACGCAAAGTTAACACGTTAACGTGCCCGGCCCTAATTATAAACATGATCAAAATTTTTTAAAGTAGGAAAAAGACATAGATTTTTAGTAAAATTTTATATATAATATTCTTAACTATGTTTTCGGGAAATTTGTAGTCTATGTAGTGCAAGTAGACATATGCAATTTATCTGATTTGTTTCATTGTTATTATTTATATGCAGGTTGGTTTTCCTAATGCTGGTAAATCTTCTCTACTACGAGCCATCTCCAATGCAAAGCCAGCTGTAGCTGCATACCCATTCACCACTCTCCATCCACATGTAGGAATTGTCAGCTACAGGGATCATGAACAGGTTGCAGGTATTTACTGTTTAAAATGATTTATTTAATGTTTATCTATTTTGAACATGCATGAAACAGTATCAAAACAAAACTATGAAGACAATAACATTCTGATGCAGATTATCTTTTTACTTAAAGAAAACTCACCAATAATTAATAATTCTCATTATTTTTTGTCAACACTTTTAGAAAATGTAAAATGATACAACATATTTGATACAATTGGTTTGTCTTTTTAATGTGAATATATGCAACTTTTCTCTGCTCTCCCACACTATAATAGTTGCAGACATTCCTGGTATCATCCGTGGAGCACACTTGAATCGAGGCTTAGGTCTGTCTTTTCTTCGACACATTGAACGCTGCCGATTTCTCCTCTTTGTCCTGGACATCTCTTCTCCAGAGCCATGGACAGAACTTGAACATCTGCGTTATGAACTAAACCAGTATGAACCAGATTTGTCACATCGGCCTCATGCTATTATAGCCAACAAGATGGACCTTCCTGATTCCAAAGAGAAACTTAAGACTTTGAGAGGCCTTGTTAATCAAAGGGTTATTCCTGTATCTGCTCTCACTGGACAGAACACTGAAGAACTGATCCTACACCTCAGGGAGCTTTATGATGGACATCTTGATGGAGAAGATGAAAAAGTTAAAAGATGGTAAAATTAGTTGTAGCTATTTATTGAGAAATGTTTTAAAAAAATCTTTAAATAAATGTCATCGTAATATACCAAAATCTCTGCTCTTTTGAATTAACTGCGCACAAGATATTCAGCAGACTAGATATGCACTGCCTCAACAAAGATATCTTGTAAATTCCTGGTAGGTATAGAGATGGGCCATTGTAGACTGCGATAATTAAATTCAAAAGCGTAACTTTTGCTGGCCTTAATCTACCCATTCTTTTGTTTTGTCTCTGAGATTTGTCCAACATTTAAGATGTTTTGCAATGTTGTATTGATTGTGCAATTTTCCCACAAATATTTTACATAGTAGTATTGTTATTTCCGATGGCTGAAGCCAGCAGGGGGCACACCTTTCACATTTTCATAAGTCCAAACCAAGTGTAGTTAATTTTACTTTATTAATAAATGATTAGGAGAAAGAAATACTACATTTTATTGTAAATACTGCATTTTATTAAAAAATGTATAAACAGAATGATGAACAAGTTTTGACGACTGTGTAGTCATGATCATCATAGTGAAAATATTAATCAAATACATTGATGATTGTGATAGTAATGTTTAACATGCTTTTTCCTCTTATCAGAATTGCACCATCCAGAAGCTACGCATGTTGAGGGAGTTACGACTATGCATGGACTTACCAGGTACTTCAGTTTGAACAATGACAAGTTTTTTAAGTTCAGGTTTAGTATTTTGAGCTCCAGCCAACCGTATCTTGCCGCTTCGGCAAACAAAACCGGTTTGACAATTCCAGTTCGTGAGAATAACCACAGCAAAATGTCCACTAATCAAGCTTTATGCTACCATAAATGCTCAATGATTTAAAAACGTTTTTATGTTCACTTAAAGCGACACCTAGTCACACCTTCATAACCATTTTGCTAAAAGAAAAAACACATGCCATTTCAAAGTTGTTGCTTTTAGTTTCTAACTGTAATTTTGTATAGTTGAATATAGCCTTGTTTCTTACTGAGCACTGAAATAGTTCAGTAAAGATTCATTGGAAGGCAATTAAACACATTTTTTAATTAATATTCAAATAAAAATGACCTGTGTCAGCATAGTCAGTATAATCTGTAGGAAACACTGTTCCTTAAACTCCAGTCAATATTTTCGTCCCATAGGCAAAAAAGCCAAAAATAAATAATTATTGCCAAGGCATTTTCTGTGTAGCAATCTATCTAAAATATATTTATACATTGTTAATTTACATCACCACCATTTTTTTTCCTCTTCTGTTCTGTTTTCTAAAAAGCTTTTTATTTCCCCATTGTAAAAAAATATGGACTCAGACATCAGTTATCAAAACAAAATAAACAAAATACCCCTGTTTCTGCCTGCCCAGTAGTAAAGCTTCAGCGAAACATAATACTGTCCATAATGTTAAATCCATAGTTGACTCCAAAGCTGCAGTCCAGTTAAGAATTGCATACCCTCCCATTTTTAACAATTCCCCAGCAGTTCAACCAGTGCATAAGGTCCATCTTCATGCAGCAAACAAGCACACGACATAAGGTCCCATTTGATGGGTTAGTGCATCTATATTATTTCCACTCAATGTTGAGTTCATCTTGTAGGAGATCCAAGCATTGTCAAACAATATATCTCCTTGTTTCTGGCATTCTAAAGACTGCAGGTTATCAGAAATGTATATTCTGCTCAGTGGCCTGTTGACAGATTCCCCCCAGGGTCTTGAACTTTGGCCCCAAATCATTCAGAAACTGCAGGTCATCCAAGTTGCCCAAAGAAAGTTGGTCTAGTGATTGGCTCCGGCTGCCTTGTCCCTCATAGGCGTACTCATGAGGCTGGTACTCTACATCTTCTCCTTGGCCACTGGACAGCATTTGCAGTTTCTAGCAAAAGAAATTAACCTATTAAGATACTTTCATATATCAAAACTTAGTTTAACATGTCAGTGCTGTCTTACCCTTTGAAGGTGCTCTGAAATGTGCTGGTTGACCTGAAGATTGTAGCGGCTATGCCGGTATGTGCCCTGTTCACAAGCAGTAAATTCATTATATCTGTCTCATTTTGTCCCGAGGCTTCATAATATAAATGTACTTACAATGTACATGCCCATCTTATTGGTCCACGTGTCCTGAAAATATAAATAGACAGTGCTTTGATTCTCAATATATCAATAGTACGGTAGTAAAATGTCACACCCTTATTCTGTAAAGGATTCATTTTCATGTTTTCTACTCACATAGTCGTACATGCCATTGCCATTTATTCGTCCCTGGTTTATGCCAATTTCGTCTTCGTAATTGTGCTGAGTAAACACAAAAGTTATTTAAAATCTGTAAAAACATTGAGGATGTTGCTATCAGTCACTTACTTGGTAAGTGTTGTACAGGTTAATTTCTTCAGTTGTATAAGCTGGCATCCCAGGCTGGGCATACAATGAAAAAACATGTAGTTATATATATATATTTCAGATCTTATAAAAGCTTTTTTTTAGAACTTATGTTGAAGATGTAATTTGTTGTAATGACAAAAGATGCTTGAATGCGATGTAGCTCATTGGCACATATGCTGCTGAGCGCGATTCAAGTTTGGACAGATGTTTTATCTCTGTGTCCAATTCCAATATTATGCAAAGGTGAAATGAAATAATGAGCCTGAAGTATGAAAATGCCATCTTGTTTGAGGGAAAGAAAAGTTGCATTTCATCTTTTCGTTATTGTCATATGAAATTGTCTATTATCAATCCTTGATTAAACATAGCCTGTTCTGTCAACAAATTCCAATCATTTGACTCACATTATATAACAACAAAAAGTTATTTATGGCCCAAGTTGAATGCAGTTTCCATTAAACTTTGCCTGCACATTCTCACGACACCTCTGACTGTCAAGATCTTACATCAGGGTTTGTAATAAATACTGAGACATACATTGCACACTGGACTGTGTTGGGGGGTGTAGATACCTGAAGTGTGTCTTGCCCATCTGTGACAGCAATATTATTTGTTGTAGTTGTCGTCAGAAACATCGAGGGTTCAGCCTGAGACAGAGCAGGAAGTCATCTATCCAGTTTTGTGATTAGTTTGAGTTTTGTTTGCAGATCTCATTAACTCACCTTGCATTCTGAGCTGCCTCCTTCTTCATTGTACTTAATGAGACTCTGGTTTCCCCCATCAACTATAGGAATGGGATCGAATTGTTTTCCACAGATGCACACAAATACCAATAGCAGTACTGCAAACAGTTCATAGAGGGAATTGTTATTGAAGTGATAATATTGTGTTTTAGTATAATTTTTAAATCTGGATGTTCTGATGACTTACACAAAAACAGTAGAAGTGACCCTATGATCAGTCCAATGGCTGCTCCCCCGACATTCAGTGACGATGATTGTTTGAGGCAGTTGTTCATTGCTCCACATTCGCACACCACTACTGAGAGAGTCTGTCTGTTCTTCATGTTTTGTTGATCCTCAATAACCAGTGGTATTGAGTAATTACCAAGTGCAAGGGACTTTTTCATAGAGAGTGCACTTTCTTCACCTAAATAAAAAGAAATGGTAAGTTTTTTCTACATTTACATTACAAGTTCAGAAAAGTCACTACATACCAAAGTTTGGATCTAGTTGCCAGTATTCTTTCTGTTTGTTATCACTGTCATCAAATGCAAAGGAAAATGGCCCACTGAATGGGTTGTCATCCAAATCTTGGACCCTCACTGGGATTGAGTCCATGTTTGTGCAGTATGTCATTGAACCGTTGAGCAGGGTAGGCTTGTTGTCGTTGATGTCTTTAAGGTGAATATAGACTGTGCCGGTACCTGTGGCTGGAGGCTTGCCTACATAAACAAAGATGATGACAGGTTTGTTTCTACAACAAATAGCTATTACTGCAGTTAGGGCTCTATAATGTGACAAAAAATACTTATAATGACTTTCAGTATTAACTTCCTGAACATAATCAATATACTTATAATCACTGCCATTTAACACAGACATTTGTCCCAAACCAACATGCTTTTACTGAAGGATTGACTGTAGACTTCTGGATTGAAACTACCCAGGTATACCATTGATGACTGGGAATGACTAAATGCTGATAATGTCACACTTACCATCATCTATAGCACCAACGAGGATTGTATACACATTGTCAACAACAAGGGGCGATTCTCTGTCCATCTTCTGTTTGGTTGTTACTATTCCTGTTTTTGGATCTATTTTCATCCAACCGGCAGGATCATCCAGGAGCTGAAACCTAATCACAACATTTTGAATAAATTTTATTATTTATTTTGTGGGCAAAATTCTATTCTTCAACCAAACTGACCTGATGTTGGCAATATCCGAGTCCACGTCTGTGACTTTTGAGACGAACACCGTTTTACCTGGTGGATCCTCTTCCTTTTGGTGTACATTAGTTTTGTCTTTGTCAAAAGTAGGTGGATCATTCACATCAATTACTGTGATAGTGATATTGGCTGTGTTAGGTTTGGGAGCGGGGCCAGGATTTTTTTTACAATAAAACAAGGGCTCCACATTTTCCACTTGTATCTGTATCTTGTGTTCTGTCGTCCGTTCGAAGTCTCTACCCTGAAAGAAAAAGCAGTCTCTTATAAGATTACACTAAAGCATTTTCCAGTTGGTCTCCCAAGCCTATATATGAGAAAAAAATAATGAGTACTCAGAAAATATACACTAAGTTTAAAATCCTACACAAGAAGTCAGGGGTTGAGGTGAAATAGTCCAAGACAGGAACAATGGAAAATTGTCTGTATTAATTGACTTAATACATTAATCATGTGGATTACTGTACGAACTCAGATCTTGACATTTTACAGTTTTTGTACAGTCTCTCTTCATTATGGTCTTTTCTTTTCACCTCAGGCTTATGTCTTATGATGCACATGCAGATAATTTATTATAGTTGCTTTTGTAACCTTACTTGGAATATGAAAGTTTTTCTTGCTCAAAGTCTACGAAAAATATATATTTAACAATTTGAATGTAAGAAAACTGAGCAAGGTGCAGTAAAGCCTGATTTCAGATGTAAAATGCCTTACTTGGAGGATCACAGTTAAAAAATACTTGATTACACTCTTTTTAAGAATAAACCGAGCCCTACTTGTGGCTAGAGCGGGCAGAACACATTATAAACCCATTTAGAAGAGTTAAAGGGATCAGACTAGGTGCCATTTCGGGAAATTGCTGCCCCTTATGGCTAAGCTAAGAAGCATTTCTGGGAGAACTGTAAATAGTTTATGCTACAGGAAGATGTATTACCTTTACAATTGAGAAAATGCCTTCATTTGTTTTGGGGTCTGTCTCAATTTTGTAGTTTCCGTCTTCATTTCCACTGATGAAAGAATATTTGGCCTGCCATCCAGGAGTCCTTGGTGTATCCTTATCTTCCACTTTCACCCTCAAAATCCCCTCTTTGACTTCCATTTCATTGACTTCAGCAAAATACTGAAAAAATAAAAAAATTTGAGATTTCTTGTAATTGTAATTACACCTTGCATTTTCATTTTTGAAACCATACTTGAGTTTCCTTAAAAGTTGGTAGATGAGTGTTTGTATCCAGCACATTGAGAGTGATCGATGCCGTGGAAGAAAGAGGTGGCTTTCCCTTATCTTGTACTTGTGCAATAATAATATACTTTTTTGCTTTCTGAAAAATACAGGTTTAAGTCACTTAGAATCTTTCAGTGATTTATCAAATTTTGCAGTGAACCATAGTGTCTTACATCATAGTCAAAACATCCACTGTATTTAAGTTGGGCTGTTCTATTGTCAATCAGCTCTAACTCAATTTTTGGATCGAGAGGGGTTTGTGAAAGTAGACTGAATTCCATTGTTGAATTTGGGGAATTTGGTTGGTCAGGATCCATTGCTTGTAGCCGCACTGGCAATAAACCTAAAATATGAAGAAATTTATTAGAGAACTGGTGCACTCTAGCCTTGTAGGCTAAAGCAAATATTTACCTTCTTCCACACTTTCTTTGATTTTCTCATTTATCCTTGAGTTTAAAAATTTCGGGGGATTGTCGTTTATGTCTTTGATTTCCACATCAAAAGACAGCTCTTTGTCCAGTTTTTCCCCAGTATTCTTGTCCAAAATGTCGAACTTAATCTGAAAAAGGTCCACTAATTGTAATTATATCTGCAAAAATATGTTCTGAAATGGTTTACTATGCAGTTTAGCTTACATGGAAGCAGCTTTTCTGTTCTCGGTCTACGGGTTTGTGAGCATAGACCGTTCCATTGTTCTCATTAATAGAAAACACCCCCAGTGGCTCCTCTGTTACTCCTGAACCACTGATCTTAAAGAGGTGGCTAGCGACTTTACCAAGCTGGTCATTGTACATCTGGTAGAGACAAAAATAATTAGCATTTGCAGGTCAAAATGATGGATTTTAAAATTAGGGTTTTATGTGTAGCAAAATATATTGTATTCTGCTGCAAAATTAGCAACTTCTGGATGCATCTAACTGTTTATAAATCTTACAAGTTAAGTTTGATTACGAATTTATAAAATGTAATATTTCAGCACTTCCTTATAGTACCAAAAAAGGTAAAAAATTGTATCTTGGATGTTACAGGCCAATTTAAAAAAAATGTAATTGATAAAAAAAAAAAATGGTCCCAACCAAGTTTAATCCTTATTCTTTTTTAAATACTATTCAATACTAGTCTTTTTTATCACTATTAGTGGTGGGTGATACAGACACAAATGGATGATGTCTGTAATTAGTACATTTTTGGAAGTACTTGATAATAATAATCAGGCAATATTTTTGTTTTCCAACAAAAATGTGCAAAAAGTTGTCTTTAAATATAGAGGTGTACGTATCAGACATATGTGAAAAGACTACTGTAAACTTGACCCCTAAGCATGCAGAAATATGACAGTACCTGGGATATTTCTTTTGGGAATGGCCCCTTGTCCTCTTCTGTTAGTTCGATTGTAGACAAAACCCATCGTCTTTTGCTTCGTGAAAGAAGGACCTCCTGTTTACATAGAAAAGTTTTGATTTCATAACCTTGTCTTTTTTTTTTTTTTTTTTAAACGTTGCATTATGTGACATTTCAAGTTACCCTTTTGCTGCGTCTATATGCTGGGTCGACACATGCCAGTGCAGTCGTTGCAACCTGGGCATAATGAAACCAGACTTGTAATACAAATTCTCTGCCAAATCTATAACTACATGTTGATTGCATAAGTTAAGGTGAAACATCCATTCCAAAATGTTTATGCATACATTTATTTTGTAAATCAGTACAGAAAATATTTTTTGGTGTAATTCTTCCTATTATACCATTCATATAAACCTTTATAATGGCAACCTGCAGCCGTTTTACTGTACTGTACATGTGCATTACCCCTGTTGTCACATGCTTAACATAATTATTAACAACTACAATATTAGAAGTTTTAAAAGTACAAGTGTAATTGCTTGGGACCCTACCATCAGAAGCAGTAAAGCCGTCCTCATGTTGTCGGAGTCCTGTGTAGAAGTGCTCTATAGGACGTTAGTTTGAGCTGCAAAGACTGCATGGAGACAGCCCACAATGCCTGCAGGTCGCTGGTTGGCTACGACAAAGAACTGTTTGTTCCACTGTTCGTATAGGTGCGTGTGATCCGATACCTTAAATCTGAATAGGTTCAAATGGAGACAGAACGTATGGGAAAGCACTTATATATGATGTTTGTAGAAGAGAGATTTAATAAGGGTTGTTTTCTTTCCCTGTATCTGTCTGTCTCTATGTTCACGGAAGCATGGTTGGACTCAGGTAAACAGCCCTGCAGCGCTGTGGCTCAGGTTACCATGTCTTATTTATCACTGGCCTACATACACTGCTGAACATGTACAGAGCATGTCCAAAAAATGAAACCATTAAGAAAATGAATGTACATGTACTCATTTTAACAGTTGTGAGTACCTCTGTATCACTATTCCACCTGGGGAGGTTACTTACAAGTTATCAGAATACCTACTACTTTATGGAGCTTCTGTTGACACAAACTGGTAAATCCTTTTCTACTGATTCTGTAAAAGGTTGAGAGTATATTGCATAATTAAACAAAGTAGTTCCTGAGTATCTCCAATGATTTATAGAAGTTTTTTTTAGTAAACTCTACTGTTCAAATGTGTCGTAATACAAAATACAGCTAAAAGTTTTGTAGATTTGACAATCTGATTAAAAAGCTTTTCTTTTATATCACTTTAGATCATATCTAAGGTTCCTTGATGAAAGAGATTATAAAGTCATTCTATTCTGTTCTCAAGAAATACACAGTAGCACGTTATGTCTTAAGTCTACTTTTCTTTTGTTTTTGCTATAAGGGAGTTACCTGTAATTAGAAATGTTTGCTAACAGATAAGCATGCAGAGTATGTTGTGTGCTTACGAGGATACAAGGAGTGTCACGTGAGCTTATTACTACTAGGAATGCTTCTTTGAGTTCAGTTCATCATATACAAGCAAATCAGTATACATTTTTCCAGACCGAATGAATTAATTGGGAAATGTGATGATGAGTGACACACTGTTGGAGTTCTCACAGTGTGGGAATGAAGGAAAAATAATCAAACAGTTGGCTGTATCAACATGTCATAAAAGAGCCGCACCTTTAAGCCTTGGGCATGCCACTTTAGACTCCCCCTCTCAATTTTAATTTATGATGATTAGAAATAGGGGGTGCCTTGGTTTCAAAAAATGCATCATACTATTGTTTTACAACAGCAGGCACAATTATCGGAATAAATTAGTTGAATCCAACGTTGATATTTTAATGGCAAGATAAGAAAAACAAAGAGGCCGTGGCTTGGGCATGTCAGCTGAAGTCTAATATGCAAATAATTTTTTTCACACAACTGCAATGCACCTATCAGATTATAGGCTTGTGAAACTGGCAGAGCAACAAAGCTAAAAACAAAACAAACTAAATCACTTTAGAATATTTACAACTTGGTACTGATATTTCACAATTAAAACTGCAAATGAAACTGCAAATATTGCATGGACATGGATGAAATATCAATAATAGTAATTTTGTGGTTTCTGCTCAAAAAAGGTGTTAGTTAACAGTTGGTTTTGCCTTTGAAGTTGGCAGATGAAAAATGGGCAAGGTTTGATGAAGCTATTTCTCAAATTATGCTTATGCCTTATCTGCTTTCAAAAAGAACTAGAGGACAAGCGGACTACACCAGGAAGTCCTGTAAATGTTCATGAAGCAAACCAAACCTTCATACACCCTCACCCAGGGAAGCCGACCAGGCCATCCAGGCCTATGTGCCTGATCAGCCCTGGTTGGGTCAACTTAAAGACCTGTAACATCCGGTGACCCTAGGTAACATCACTAATGCTGTGCCCTAGCATTGCATTTAGAAACAATGTATCTTTTAGTATTGTTTGAAGAAATCTCAAAACAGCCATTGATATCTTGTTCTTTTCATGTATTTATGATTTCTATCCCTCTCTCATAAAACTGAATCAAGATTCATTTTTGACCAATACCATTCTCTCAGTGACACATTTTCAATGTTTTCTTACAGAGGCAAAGGGGTGGTTGAAATGTCTTTGAAATGTCCCAAAGATGGTATGCACTGGTCTGAACTTAACGTATTGAACCGAATGCCCTAACCCCCGAGCCACTGCCTCTCTTTTGTCTTAACTCCAATTAGAACATACCATAGCCAATAGACTCGGAGAATTGATCATGTTTATGGGTATTAAACATCGTACATATTTGGATGTAACCCATCTTGTTCTACTGGCAAACAAGCATAAACAAAGCGTACTACGCAAAAAACATGGCTACAAGCAAAGTATGTGAAGGTGTTTGAATGGAGCACTTCCCGAACTTCACTAATGTAACATAAAACGTATAATGGAATATATAAAATAGAACAATAGAATAGAACAAAATAGAAATAGAAATAGAAATACAATAGAACAAAAACAACAAACATTTTTAAAGTATTTTTTATTAATACATCATATTTTATAAGCAACAGTTACCAGTATTTATTTTTAAAGAGTCCTTGTAGTTTCTTGTATTCACATTTTTTTTAATAATAAAAACACACCCATGGTTCAAAACAGATTATGTACTTACCGCATTAAATCTAATCCTTCAAGTATCCTTCATTAATTGACTCTTCATCTTACTTTGACATAAACACGGCTGACAGGTACATATTGACAATCGGCACACGACAAAGTACCATTTTGATTTTGTTACGTTTTAAAAGTTAAGTTATGCCATAGGATTGGTTTTACATGCGTTACAGACACTTCCATCAACATAAGAACATCATGCAGACAAACAGTAACAGACGGCTGTCCTCCTATGTAAAATGTGTGAGGTGATGGGTACATACAGGCTGAGTATGCATTTGAGACCTGTCAGTTTCAACCATTGTTATGTTGAGTTTAAATTGCATTCCAGGTTTATAACTACCATTCTGAAGAACCGCAAGCGTTATGTGATGTAAGGTAAGCTCCTCAGTCATATATCTGAGACACATAGAGTGTGGCTTTGTGGGGATTTAGGTGGAGTCACGGTGGATTTGTGAAAGGTCACCTATGACATAATTTCCATTGTCATTAAGCCAAAATGTCTTTTTGCTTTGTACTCACTGCTTACTACTTAATAGCCCACAACATCTACAGTGCCAGAATGAAGTTTTTATGCTAAAAATCATCAATCAATCCTTGGTTTTTTTTGTCAACTGATATGATACCTACCCATAGTGTTTGTCTAAACCTCTGCTTGTCCAGGTCAGATGTTTTCATTTTTATGTTTCTTTCAAAAGCCTTCTTTTGTTACTGTAAAGTCAACTTCTCTCCACCTGGCTTTATTTTCATAAGACAGCTTGATCATGTTTTTGTTCTGTGGGGTCATTCATAGGTCTAGCCTTAAACAACCTTAACTGTACAAAACTTTAAAACGCCTTTAACATTTCTACTTCTGGTGAACTTTTGAACCCCACTTGCTAATTTACTGTTGAATCAAATTAAAATGCTCACTATATTTCACACTTAAAATACAAAACAGATTTCACAATTAAAATTTTACCAATTTAAAACAATTACTGTTTATGTTTCACATTAGGAGTACCATCTTTTGTTTACTCAAATTTATTGTAGATCCATGTTAATATATCAAGGTGACCTGGTTTAGGGGTTTTGGAATTAATACTTTTTATATATACATTTTGGAAAAAGTTAATTTGTATTTGAAAATTTTTAAATTACTCTTGTGACTGATCCCTGTCCTATGTTTGGCACTGTGTTTTAAGACACAAAAAGGAGTGGCCATTCCCTCTGGCGGGATTCAAGTGATAAACACACTTCTCTAGAACCAGAGCGTGTTAGTACAGAACTGCATGACACATCAACATTTAAAGACAACCCTCACTCAACTGGCTAGACCGGTTTCTGTCATAATAAAATAGAATCTTTTTTGTATTTAAATGATACAATATGCAAATATCACAGCCAGTTTCATGCTGGGATCTGCATTTGACAAAGAAATGGCTTCTTATTCTCAAATAGACTTCTATTATACAGGTGCACGCCGTGGCTCCTCCTCTTCCTCACTCTCTTCGTCCCTGTTTTGGGGGACAGAGGTGAGGAGCAGAGTGTCTGCGTGGACCTCCTCGTCGTCTGATTGGATGACGGGTGTGTCTGCATCTGCTCCACTGGTGTCACTGGACCCAGAGGATGTGGACAATATTCGTACTTTAGATCTGCTCTTTGTCTCATTCAGACGCTTTACTGGGACACCCTCTCTGTACACAACCTCCGCCCCTTCATCCTCCTCTTCATTCTCGGCTTCTGCTTAAAGACAAGACAAATATTTTAGTTCTCAATAATGATACTTCCTCATTGCAAAATAAGGATTGTACCTTTTGTTATCTTACAATTGAAGTAGGTGTGTTGAGTAGGGAATCTTTTTAAGACGTGTCAGAAAACTGAATTGGGCATGATGTTGTAAAAGATAGATACTAGTATGTTGTGAAAGCTATATGTTACTGCATTGTTTAATCTGCTCATACCATAGATGTTCAAAGCATTAGTTATTTCTGTTTTTTTGTTTTGTTTTTTGACCTCCTCACTACTCACTGTAGATGTGATCACTTTCTAGAGTATCTCTTACTAGCATGCACATGAAAATGCATGCCAGTATGATGAAATGATACTGGCATGCATTTTCATGTGCATGCAAAAAGTTGTTCCCTGAAAAACTCTCTTATTTTATAGCCTTATTTTATAGGGGGGGGGGGTTCTGTGTACTTCTATTGGTGGAATGTTCAGTAGTTACCATGGTGACTCAATGCACACATTAGCAACAACTACTAAAAATGTTTTAAGACTGTCTGAAACAATACAATATTTCAGAATACAAAATGGATTTAAACAGCACATTCAGGAGCCTGTGATCAATAGAAAAGTTCATGGTTCTGTCTAGGAGTGACTGACTAATGGCTAATCCTAGTTTGCCAGTGACTGTAATTTTATGTATGGGACTTGTTTAACAGCACCGAACAGTTCACCTCCACCAGCTCTTTCTGGTCAGACTCTGTTAAAGTAAAGTTTAGATTGGGTAACAGAGCTTCAGAAAAATCAGTGCCTAGAGTTAGCATCCCAAAACCCGGGGAATGTTGATGAAACCTGCAAGTGTCAATTTTGTGTTTATCATTTACTTGATTTAGAAAAGTTATAAACAAAAGTTGAAAAGTTAAATAAAAAACCTAAACATAGCAACAGTTGACAGGGGAACAAGGTTTGTTTTATTTGTGAATGTATATCTGAGCTTCTTGTAATTTGTACCAAATTAATGTTAAAATATGGATAATGGTTAAACAATGTAATGAGCTACGGTGATCATAGGGTCATTTTTTCTGTTATTTTGTTATTGTCTAGCTCTTTCGTTGATTCTATGACATGGCAAGGAAAAGATCAGTCTTTTAACCATCAGTTCTGCCTTCTCAATTCGACTGGATGCTACGATTTGATTTAACATTTGATCATTTCATCAATACAAAAAAAGCCATTTTCTTAGAATCAAAATTTTGTATCATGACTATTCTTAATTTGCAGTCAACTTTTTGTCACTGTCATAAATTGTTAGCTTGACAGCTCCACTCAGAAGTTGACAGACTGTATTATTTATAATCATAATGATTAAGTATGGTTAGTTATTTATTTAATTCAATAACTGATAGAATACACTGATGTATCTAAAGCTGTGAAATTAGTCTAATTTTAATCAAGTTCCAGATTTAATCATTTCTGATCAGCTAATCCTCTGTCTGTTAAAGCATGGGCGTAGAAACAGTTCAGACTGGAGGAAGACGTTTGAATCAGTGCTAAAGATAGTCAAAGGAGTATTGCCTGCCTTGTTTATGTTCAGAACTTTTAATCAAAATTTGACCAATCTGAGAAAAAATAATTGTCATCTCCCAGCTCTAGGTGCATATGTTGATACTATAGTGACGTAGTGTGGGACAGTCATGATACCTGGTAGTGAGGGGGTCAGTGGCGCCTCCTCTGACCCAGAGCCGGAGTTGAGGAACACGTCCAGAGCCTCTTGATCCGAAATGTCCATCAGGTCCATCTGCTCCAGCACGTCCACATTCACCTCCATGGACGAGATGCTGCCCATGGGTGCTACAAACACATCAGTCAATGTCATCTCAATCATTGTGTCAGAGTAATAGTAATTATTAGCACCCTTAACAAACAGACCCCACACGTCAGACATAGGTCAGATCAATGTATAATTTTAATGTTGTTTTTTTTGCTCTACAAGTTAATTTCTGTAGTTAACAAAAAAATAATATATTTTTTATGTATAATTTTCATTTGTTCCACAAATTGTCCCAAATTGAACTTTCATGGTTAAATAATGCAATTTTTATTTGTGTGGGTGTGTGCGCGTGTGCACCCGTGTGTCCATCTTACGTTTTCTACAGTCAATCTGCAGATGAGTGGAGGGCAGGTAGTTGTCCACATCATGTTGGTAGACTTCCTCAAAGAAGCGCTGTCTGTCTCTGAGCTTCAGCTGTTGTCGGGAGTCGTTGTCTAGGTGACGCTGTGAGTTGTCTGTCTCTGCTGAAAAATCAGAGTTAAAAAGTTCATTTAAAAAAGGTATGCTAATTATGCTCTCAGAAATTTATGGTAACACAGCCAGTGGGAAAATCTCACAAATTTCCCAAGATTCCTTTTTTTCCACTGCAAGTCCTTTCATGATCTGCTGCAGGCTTCTGTGCTCACCAGACTGTTTCCTCAGATTAGATTGCAACATTTCTGTACCAAACTACATGCCCTAATTATAGATGGAGGCTATAAGAATTAATGAGGTGTTGTAATTATTTAAAATCGATGTCAAAACCTTTTTTTTTTTTTTTTTTTTTTTCCAAAAGATTGTTTCTCCTTTCTGTTTGACCCAAAATGCTATTCTACCCTCTAGTGGTTCTGATTATGATTGCAGTACTGGAATGAGAAGAGCCGTTGCAGGTGAACAAATTTCCCAAACATTGAATGTGTTTTGGCAGTTTAAATAATAATAATAATAATAATAATAGGTATGCATAATAAAAAAGATAAGGGCACCTACTCCTACTATCTGAAGCAACACTCACATACCAAGTAGTGACACATTTTTAACTGAAGGTGTAGACCTTTTTTTAACCGTTATTGCGCAACTTGATGAAAATAAATCTTACAGTTAATGACTGTAAAATGGCAGCAGATTTGACATGTAATTGTTCTAAATTGGTATCAAGTTTTAAGACTATTTTTCAGTGGCAAGTTTGAGATTTTAGTATTGCGTCTAAATTGCACAAATCAAAGGCGTAGTCAAAAACTGGAGTCCTTTTTTAACTTTTATTGCAACACTTGTCGAAAATAAATAATACAGTTGATGTATCAATACAGAATGTAACACAGCAGCAGATTTGATATATAATAGTGCTAGGGTTGTAAAAAAAAAAAGAATAGCCAGATAATTTAACCACATCAAAATTAACTATAGATAATATATATAGATTAACAAAAACGCATACATTGTTCACATTTCATTTCACACACATACACACACACAATAGCTTGTGTCTAAATTGTACAAATCAATGTGGAAAATGACACATTTTGAGAACCTATAAGCTATAATATCCATTGATTATTAGCCTATTTTGTATATTGTCTTTATCAGTGTTACATTGCACACATCATAAAGGTTAGTGCATGTGAAGTGTGCATTCGCCCTTGTGCTCTTCTCTACTGGACCTGGGGCTGGTTGTGTATTTTGCGTGTTGAATGTTCTTGTTGCGTGTTGGGTGTTGTGTAACAGTTTTGCTGCCATCTGACCCACTGGGTGCTGACACACTCACTCATGTCACTGTACCATGTTGTGACTCAAAGCACCTTCAGTGGACATGAACAATATTCGTGCTTTAGATCTGCTCTTTGCCTCATCTGGACGCTTGGTGGGACTCCCTCTCTGTACACAACCTCCGCCTCTGCATCCTGAACTTCTGCTTAAGTACAAGAGAACTATTTTGATTAACAATAATGATACTTACTCATTGCAGAATAACAAAGGGTAGGTGTGTTAAGTAGGCATTTGTTTGTTTTAAAACCAGAAAGCTGATTTGGTGATTCTTCTGAAGTCAGAGTTGTGAAAGTCACTGTTGTGAAAGCTATATACTAGTTTGCCTGACCCACTGGGCGCTGACACACTCGCTCATGTAACTGTACCACTGTGACTCAAAGCACCTTCAGTTTTGTTGATGCCATTAGTTTAAATGTGTTTGCTGAGCTTCTCTTTGAATTTAAATATCATTATTATCAATAAACTAGAAGAACACTTTAGACCATCATTCATTTTAAGTTGGCTGTTTTGCTGCTGTACCAATAGCAGCAGGTCACAATAATAAAAATATTTAATTTTAAATACATTTTTTTAGTATAGTTACTTTTTAACAGATTTAGCTGCATTTTATATCTGTATTCATGCTGTATAAATGAAACAGTTTAAAGCTGATCATTTTAAAGCACTATCCACATTCTCTCTGAGCTCTATTCAAGAGCAGGAGACTACTCATGATTACATTTACAAGTACAAGTACTCATACAAGTTTAAAAATCTGTTCTGTTATCCTGCTTTAGGCTTATTATGTCAGTAGGCTAAAGTAGTTTCAATATTCCCTCAGTCATCCAGGTAGGAGCCATCGCAAAAGAGAAATTCAATTCTGTAAACTTGTCTGAACTGAAGAATCAGCTTGGATGAGTTGCAAAACGTCTTCCATCACAAACTTTTGTCCAGTTGACAGAACTGAAAGTCTCCTTTGCTATTATCATTTAGTGTGACATTTTCTGTAAGACCTAAAACTCTTATATCGTTATGGAGAACGCCAAATGTAAACAGCTCTATATTTGCTCTGTGTTTGGTCTGTGTTTACAGAGTTCAATATACAGTGTTATGTATTACACTATTTTTGTAAACTACCTGCTGTCTGTCCCTCACAGATAGAGCTCACCTACCACACACCACTAATCAAATCAGCCCAAGTGCCCTGTTAATCCACTACTTTATATACAAATGTCAGCAAGATCATAAATATGGGTTGCTGCCTGCCACTATCAGAATATTCATAGTAATCTGATATACCATCTGTATTGGGTATACCCTTTTCTCATATATATATCCACAGTTTTGGCATGTCCCACTTACTGTCTACTGTAGTAGAATAGATAAGAGTCTTTGTGGAAAAAGGTGCTGATGATAAAACAGAGCTTACATAAACACTTCTGTCTGCTGCCTAAGGCCTCTCTCTTTCTCACTCTCTCTTCCTCATTCTTCACTGCCCCCAACCCCACCCCCTCTCTCCCAGCTCACTCACTCTCGCTCATTCTTTTTTCTTCCCTGCCACCTAACCCCACATATTCCAATCTCTCTCCTTCTCCCTCTCCCTCTTTCTGCATCTCTGTCTCTCTCTCTCTCTGTCTTCCCCTGTGTGTGTCTTATTCTGTAAAAGTCAAACAGCACTAGTGACTTCAGGAGTGCCACTGGACACTTCAGTCCACGCGCTCAGTCAGACCACACACACCAAGCTGCACCGTCTCATGCACACCTCAGCTCGTATGTATAATCACAACCTTGGCACTTGATACATTACTCTTTGTGTTATTTTATTTTAGGAGGAATTAAACTAAATTAAACATGTACACTGATTGTCCTAGGAATCCATTAATGCTTCTCGTTTTTACTCAATGCTCATTAAGATCCAGGAGATTAATATTTCATTGTAAATTAATATTCTGACACTTGACACTTTTTTTATTCTTGAGATTATATAAGATAAGAATAAACACAATGCAATACTATTTTGAAAAAAGAAAAATATTTATTTTGTTCCTCTATGTTCCTGGAGCCAAGTGCTGAATTTTCAGTAAGAGACTTAAAATGTTCCAGTGTATTTTGGGTCCTGTCTGGCACACTTGTGTAACAGGGCGACAGCAGCACTTCCAACTTTGAACAATCTACCTCAAGTCACGTCTACAGTTTAGGGATCACTGAGCATTTGACCCACATTGGGAGACATTGAGGACATTATTAATCCCACACAGACTGTCCTTGTTCATAACCATCAACTTTAGTCTGGGAGCCAAGAGCAGGTCATTCTCAAACAATGATATTTCTTCAGTCTCTTATTGTTTCCTTACTGACAGTAGCACCCAGCATCTCTCTGGATCATTTCTTTCTTTAAAAAAAAAAAAATCTTTTAACCATCCATTTCATTTTACCAGAAATGCTTTGCTACATTTATGTTCATAACATTGCCATAACATTTTTCAATCATTACCTAAGCCTAAAAATGAAACTGCCTTATGTAACCAGCCATGGCCCTACATCTTGCAGTAAGCAGCTGTTTGTTTGGTTTTGATGATACTGGTGTCTGCTAAGCGTCATACTGCAGGCATGGGCAGTATTTTGTGCTTTTGTGGTATGTCTAAGCTCATGAGAATGGAGAAAATGCAACCCTATACATTCTTTGCATATTTAGTTTTGGAGAATCGCACTTGTTGGTCGTGTTAGACACACCCCAAAACAACCCAGCGGGCCTTGATTGAACCTGATGTTTTTACTGTGTGGTTAGAGTGCTATCCATCATGCCAGCATTTGTCACACCCCTTTGGCAAATATATCTCTTTCATCTAAGAGTTGTTTCTAAGACTTTGTTTCTTTTTACCATACATGTCTAAGAATAAGTGAGCAGAGAATGCTGTGAAGGAAAGCTGGGAAGGTTGACTGATGGGGAGGGGGTGTGGTCGAGTTATTTGGTTTTGGTTCTTTTCTGTTTTGTTTTGTTTTTTATTATTATTATTTGTTTTACTTTGAGTTATAAATATTTAAATTAGGAAAAAAAAAAGATTTAAACAACAGGCCAAAAATGTATATAATGATTTTTTTGAGCTACTCAGTTTCAGTTTGATCACAATTTGGAGTTCTTCTCACTTCACTCTGATTGTTTAAAGAGCCCATATTACAGTATTTTCTGATCTATGTAAAGTTGTTTCCTCATCACAAACATACATAGAGTTGTGTTTTGTTTCATTCACACATGTTAAACACACAAACCCTGCATATTTATTCTGAGTTCTTCTGTCAAATGGAAAACACTCTGTTCCACCTTGTGATGTGATGCCATGTCATGTGGTAATACAAGAAGTGCTCCACTATGTTTTTAACTCCATACACTTTCATTAGAGTCATTTGGATGATTTCAGCCTTGGAATTGCCATCTCTACTGAACTAAAAGTAAAAGGTAGCTGTTAACTTGAAAAATACTGCTTCAAGACATCACAAGGTGGAACACAGCATTTTCAACTTTGGAGATGACTAATAAAAAAGAGTTGAAACAAAACACGATTTCAGGTATGTTTTTGAGCAGGTAACAACATATAATAGGTTTTAAAGCTCTCAAGAGTCAATTCTGTGTAATATAGGACCTTTAAATCTCCCAGAACATGCAGGAGTGGATGTAGTAAGTATCTTTTTGTTATGCATATGACATGAATACAATATAAATTAAATATAAAGCACTGAATCATACATCCGTATAACCAAATAGCAGATTGTCACAGACATCAGATCACAATTTGATTTTTGCCACAATATTGCTAAACCTTACATGGCAATATAGATGTAATAATTACTGGTATATGAATTATATCTATGCCTTATTCTTAAGACTTAACCAGATTCGTTTTAAAACAATAAAGCAACAACAACTAATCTGATTTATCTAAACTGGTAGAAGATCAACCACAATAATTCATACTTTGCAGTTGATGTCATAAACATTGTCTTGGGGGTGTGATGATAACTGTAGGTGCTGCCCTGTCTCAAGCTTTGTGAAACTTTAATCTCAGCTTTATTTTAACACAATTTGAACACAAAGAACAGACTTAGTCGGAACTGCAACATAAACATTTCATTTTAATGTTAAAAAACTCTCACATAAAATTACAGTCACAAGCCAGCTAGCATTAGACAGAAGTTTTTCATTTAGTCATTCTCTCCTCACCTTTTGCTGAAAATCAAACTCCTAAACAGGAACTTGAACGCCCGTACTTATCACAGGCATGTGAAAATGTGTTGTTTAAATCCATTTTGTATTTTTTCATGAGTTTTCAGATGATCTTAAAACCTTTTTTGGCAGTGTTTGCTAATGTGTCAGTAGAAAACACTTCATAACTGATACATATTCTGCTCTCTGTCTAAAAAGGCCAGAGGTGACAGCTGAGCCTTGTGCACATGACTGCCTATTATCGGTTATGCATCTCTGTCTATCCTCCCTCTCCTACTGCCCCACACTGCTAATGTTTACAACCATCTTTACACCACAAATCACACCCTCTCCTCCAGCCTATCTCTCACCCTCTCCTCCTTTCCACCTCTTCACCCTGCCCTGTCAATACCCCCTTCAGAACAGAATAATTCAACAGAGTGCATGTGCCATTAGACTAGCCTCTGTCTATAATACCCTCCCCTGTGTCATATAGAGCTGGAGTCATACATCAAGTGCTGTAGCTGGGAACTGCTTTGGAAGATTGGAAAAAATGTCCCTATTGAACCGAACAGTCACAAGGCTTCATGTTCAAGCCTCTTGTGGCCAGGGCAGAGAAATCCCATGATCATCTTTCTGTTTTGTATTGAAAGTGAGTGGCCGCAGGGTGAAAGGCCCTGGTTAGACAGTTGTATTGTACGGACCGTTTGCTTTTGACAACCCATCTGTCTTCTCTCTCTCTCTCCTCACATAGACTCTAATTCCCGTTGGGATTGGCACCTCTCAGCATTTTACAACACATCATCTGGAGGTCTGGGCCAGTGTTATTTACAGAGGCGATTGGAACGTGCTGCTCCTCTGGCCTACGCCGCCACAACACTCCATCAGGTATAAATCATTTATGAGTAAGATCACTGCAACACAAACGCCAGCTCCCTCTGCCTCACTACATTACAGAGAACAGACATAAGATCTGACTGTAGGTCCCTGTAAATCCCCCTATCAGATGTTATTCCCAAACTCATTCTATTTGTTGTAGGCCTGATAATTCCTCTGCAGGTGTTCAAAAGGCAAGAGTGGGTTATTTTTGTAATAACTACACATGAATTAGCATTAAAAATGAAGCATGAATGAAGAATGTATTCAGGCTTAGTAACTATTTAATTAATACCCTGGCTCCTAACCCTTTAATTATAGTTACTAAGCCTGTGTCATTCTTAATACGCTGTTTGTTTAAGTCTTTATGCTTTATTATGGCTAATTCAAGGGTAAGGGTTTATTTATATTACCACTTTATTTGTTTTACTTTTTTGCCATATTTGTGTTTTAAAAAATTGCCAATTGAGAAACTATAGGACAGCTAATGTTTATTATTTATTTTCCAATTGAATAGCTGTATAAGAGTCTGTGTTCAGATAGTAGTCACTCAATGAATACATTTCTTTCAAGCTATTTAAATAATTGTTTAATCTCTCTTGTTCCTGCAATCTTATTTTAATATCGCAGTAATGTTATAGGCATGAAGCATAATAGATGACCATAGCTGTTCTAACCGAGCTCTACATTATAGCTTGTGTGAGCAGTTCTTTTGGGTGAGAATATTATCACCCACTAAAAACACTTTTGCACAGCAGTATATCAGTCCTTTAATGGTTGTGCATAATGTTACTTCTAAAATGTCTATATGATATCAACCTTAGCCGTCCACCCCCATACGTGATGAGATTAGTGTATTCCCAGGCCATTCCCGTTTCCAAAACTATTAGGGCCTCTGCACTCAAGGCTAAATGCAGACATGACCTCAGGCTTGCTCCTTATTTCATCAAAGCAGGGCCCACACTAAATGTACTGATGGAATTTAAATCACTGCAGCTTTTTACCCCTAAAACACATCATTGTTTACTTACATGTCCTGTCTTGAAGTACAGTTAGCAAGTAGCACTTAGCTCGTCTTAACAGTTTCTATGTAAAGACGTTCCATTGGCTAAGAAGTAGTGCTTATCCCTTCAATGTGATTACCTACCTCTATGTTGCATCTTACCAGGGCTAATTCATTAAATGGACTATGCTGCCCAGTTAAATTTTATGAATGACAGTAAGTTTGTGCAGGAAATTTTGTAAGATTTTGAGGATAATTAAACCATTTAGAGAATTGCTTTCAACATCAGCCAGTGTATTATGTAACTACAGTGGATTACAATGGATTGCATGCAGACAGACTTGGCTAGATTTGTTACATAAAAGTTAAAGTAGGCTGACAGTTGTTAATTTTGTTTATCTCGCATTCTTGACGTTTACATATACTATTAGAAACTATATGTTAAAATTTAATAGCATTTCTCACAAGCATGCGGCAGACTGTCTCAAATTAAAACTACTTTGTTATACTTACATGCTAGACGCTTGTTGTGGTTGGCCGACCCAGTGGACGACATGATGCTTTGATTCTTGAGTATCTTTTAAGTTGTCTTCACAGCTCCATAGTGGGATGCTGGTGGTGCCTGCAGTGAGTGTTGGTCATCTGGACTTGTAACACAATCATACATAAACAATAGCCATTAATCTTCAGTATATCTTCTGTGATCTTTGGACTGCGCTCTTCCTCCTCTTCCTCCTCCAGTGTTTTTTGCAGTTCTTTCGAGGTTTGCTTCACACAGTCATCTCGGTTGGCCGGCGTCATGCACACACGCGCTGTTGTGACTCTCTCTCAGTTGGAGTAGTGTTGGGGGCTGTGCAGCAGGGGAGAGGGATAGACAGGAGACCGGACTACGGCATTATCGTGGTCTGTACCAAGTCACAGGGACGTGGGGGTCAGTCAGAGCAGCAGACTTAAGGCAGCTGGACTCATGGCTGTAGCTATGCATTTCAGAATGGTGAAATATTAAGATCGTTACCATAGTGATTAATCATTTTAAACAAAATATTCTTCTTTTAAATGGGAAAAAGTCCTCAAAATGTCAGGAAGCTGAAGCTCTTGGATAGGCAGGATGAACTCATAGTAGTTAGTTAATAAGTCTTGTGCAGGTTAGTAAAATTAAATAGTACATATGTTACTTAATTCATAGTGAGTTAGCAATTAACTCAGCCACAACCTTTTAATTTATTTATATACCGTCACTAATAATAATACTAATAATACTACTACTCTTACTACTAATAATAATTGTAATCATAATCATAATAAAGTTATATCACATGCATTATTTTTATTATTGAATTGTTTATTACACAAATTCTGAATTTTGTGCATATGAATAACTTATCTAAGCTCATGTAATCATAATAAAGCATTAACAAAGATGTTGTAGCAGTGATCTGATAAGTGTTTGTGTTGTATTAATAAATAAATGCTGACATTGATGCATTTATGAATCCACTTCAACTATGCATTTCAAGTACATTAATTCACTAACTATCAGATCTGACAACATACAAGACAAGAGAATGCCATTATTCAAGTTAGTATGTATGTTCGGCTGTAAATGCCATAAGTATACTCTTTGGTATGCTTGTGCCACAGTCATGACAAATCCACCTTCCTGCTCCTGTCCTAATGAATTGTGGGTGTGCTGTGATGTAGCACAATGATAACAATTTCCTTTACAATCGTCCAGTTCTTTTTTTATACTCACTGAATAAATTATCTTAAAAAGAAGATGATGTTTTCAATCAAAGTCACGCAGAGACAAAGAAACATGTAAACTGGCGTTGTATTTCTGGTTCAGTCGAGGTCGTTTCAAAGTTGAAATATGCATAAAAAAGCATGTGACTCATGTGATATCTGTAGTTGTCTGTCCGGATATCCTGATAAGAAAGACAAAAACAGAAGCCTTGGTATTATTCAAGACATTGCATTCATATTGTGAGAGAGGTCGCCTTTCCACAGATTTGGCCTTGTCCCTGGAGATGCCAAACTATAGAACACACTAAGCAAACTGTAGAACACACTAAGCAAAGCAATAATAAGCAGGTGGTGCACTCTTATCAGTAGTGTACTCTTAAGATAATATGAATATCAGTTGTTTATGATTAGCTGATTATAGTTCTAATTTTCAAGTTGCTAATGTTCATGTATTGATTTGTTCATATTTGTGGTTTGTATAAAACAACCTCACAGCTGTTTGTAAATCAGACATGAGTCTTGTTGCAGAAGCGTCTTAATGAAAGCCTCGCCCACAGAGAATAATGAGGTACATGTAGTGTAATTAAGGATGCACTGAGCACTATCTCTCCACTCTGTGTTACCAGCATGTACTGTAACTGTCACACACACAGGGTTAATAGGCACTTAGCACCATGGACTACCAGGTCCCACTCTCTCTCCCCTAATAAGAGCCTTTGAACTGACAATTACCCCACTCCTCGCCTGTACATGTGAGGATAGATACTTAAGACCAGTGACGAAAGCTTGGAAAACGTGATGAGTTTAAATGAAATAGTTTAAAGTTTAAAGGTTATGTAACTTTTCTAGTATTGGGTTAACCATTGGCTTGTAGAGTTATGTGATAAACCAAATTTAACTCAAGATCTAGATTTGTTTCATTTTAATTGTTAATGGTCAGCTTGGGTCTTTTCAATAGAAAGGTCTCTGTCCAATACCGTGTCAGTAAAATTATGTAGTTTAGAGCAAAGTTCAGACTTCGGAGTAAGAAATTTGAAAAAGAAATTTTAAAAAGATTGTTCAGTATGAGGAAAAAGATTGATGGATTAATTTTTGGGCATATCATTGCCCAGTTTTACCAATTCGTCTACATAGAGACAATTGCTTTGCCTGGAATGTTCCACAGAATGGCCTAAAACGTATCTATTTTGCATTTATTCAACCAAGAATAAATATATATTGTATGTAGAGGTGTATCTCTATGAGTGAAATATACTACATTTTAATTAATGATTCAATAAAAGCTAAACTTAATCCAGCTCAACTATAGTAGGCAAAATGTTTAGTATTTAGACATGAAGAGCAACACTTCCCTGTGCTATGCAACTTTACGATTAGTGAATGGTGTCATCTGCTGGATAGATAGTGCTATTACATTGTGTATTTCATATGAATTGACATACTTAAGTATTGTATTTTAACACTAGGAATACATTTGAATAAGTTCAGTTCATACTTCTCTATGTTATGTGTGAATTATAGTTTGTGTATTTGGTGTATAATATTTAATCACATCTGCATTGACTCAAAATACTATCAAAGTTAATTCATATCCGGGTGAGGGGGGCTTTCCATTGGTTGCTCTTTCAGCTTCTTTTCTCGCTGCTTCCTTTTCAAAACTGTGTCATGTCGTCTTTGTTTGGCTCACTCTCTGTTGTGGCTTCTGACTCATAGTGCGGTAAATCTACACATTTACACACATTCACAGACCTGTTGACAGTCGCACACATTGGAGTCAGTGACTTCACAATGAGCCTATTGACACAAGATGGTGGGTTTTTTGGGGTGGAAAAACTCAGTATCAAAACCATGCAAAAGTTATGTTTTAGGGCTGCACAATTAAGTTAATGGGTCCATGCGTTTCAGAATGATGAAAAAATTATGATGATTGCCATAGTGATTAACAATTTAAAACTAAATATTATATATTTTAATATTTTGAATGGGAAACAGTTCTCAACATTTTACATTTAACAGGAAACAGAAAGTTATGTATTCATGGGTTTCAGACAGACAATTCATTCCTGATTTGAAAAACTTTAAAATAACCCATAGAGGAACTTTTCCCATTCAAGAAATATATATTTTATTTGAATTGCTTAGTTGCTATGACCACAGAGGACGAGTGCTGTAGCTTGAAACCCGTAAATAGCAGCTCAATCACAAATGGTGCAGTAAGTATTTGATTGTTAAAAAAATAATAATAATAATAATTGAAAAAATAGATATATTATGGAAATGTATTTGAAAATGCATGGCATTCTGAAATTAGTTTTGCAGTTTATATTTCGGTCTTTGAAATGTGAATGCTCCTGGACATGTTTAAAATATGCAGTGTGAACTGAATCTTGATTATGAAACATAAATTACTAATCAATGTTAGATTTTTTTTTTTTTCTAAAACTTGTTCAGCCCTATAGTTAACGTCTTAGCAGTGCAGACAGAAAAGTCAGAGCTCTCAAACTTTATTAAAAATATCCCTGCGCTGTGTGGGGATATTCTGGGGGTCACCATGGCAACAGACATCCAAGTGCCACATACAGGAGCGTGCTCACCTGTCTTATAACTTGTGCCTCGCAGCTGCCTGTGAGGCTGTGTCTGCACCGCTTGCTAAATGTGGCAGGACCAAGAGGCGACAGGAGCTTTTGTTCTCTCAACCAGCTCCATCAAGGTGCTAATTAGCCATTGCCAGACGAGAAAGTTGTTTGTGCGTTCGCAAAGTGAGATGCATTTTCTCATTCTGTAGCATAAGATGACTTCATGAGGAGTGCTATAGTGGCATTGTTGTAGTGAAAGACTACAGTAATCAGCATCTATTATTACAGCCCACACATGCACATGGAAGATACTGCATACGCCAACAAAGACTGCTAGAATTAGAAGTTAATTTAACGCACAGCTAGGAAATCAATTTCAATTTAAGAATTAGACATAAAATATAGACTCCAATAAAATGAAATGTTGAGCCTATTTAAAGATGCACTATGTAACTTTTCTGGTAGAGGGTCCTCAACCTTGTCTCCATGGATTCTATTGCTTTACTTCTAATGTTTCAGTAAGGCAATTAACTACGTTTTGTGTATGTTTTTCAAGGTTATACAGATATATCTATAATGACATAAATGCCATATAGCGGGATAGTCCATGTAAAGCAGTAACGTCTCCATGGAAACAATCAGGTGGCAGACCCTCCTCTAGAAGTTACATATATGCACATTATATTATTATATAATATTATGTCAACCTTTTCCATATATTATTGTTTTATGTTGATCCAAAGCAAATAGTACATTTCATTGTATTCACATACTTTCTATAAATTATGTACATTTATTAGGGTGACACAATATATTCAAACAGGGTTAGCGTTCGAGTGTGAAAAAAAAGAAAGTTTCCATCAAAATTTTGGCCACCAATCTTGAGATTCTGTGTTTTGTAGGTTTGAAACTGAACCAAGACCATGGACATTTTTGGAACAATATAAGGGTGGCATAATATATTCAGACAGGGTCAACTTTTTTTTGTGTAAAAGATTCAAAAGAAAGTTTTCACCAATATATTGGAAATTAATCATTTAGTATTAGGCTGCTAAGCATGTTAAAAGTTTAAAACTGAACGGAAACTGAAACTGAACTGAAAGACATTGGAAGTTTTTTTCAACTATATTTTTTCACAGTTACAACTTTAAATGCTTAATATATTTAAATATCAACATTCTTAGTGCAAATTACTGGAAATCACTGCTAATCATGTGAGAATTTGTAACAGAACTAAGCCAGTGACCCAAAAGTACAGATTTTGGAACAATATTTTTAACTGTTACAAATTGTCTTTTTTGTACACATAGGCAGTGTATTGTACATAAGTAAAAGTATGAGTGCTGTGTATTGGTCTATGTCTAAAAGAGCTCCTGTGACTCATGTGTAGAACAGGCTGCTGACATGGCCTGACTGACAGTATCACTTTGAGTCGTCACGCGCTTCTCGGCCTCTGCTGTACTATTATTATTGTGGACATTACTCAGAGCCACAC